TTTTATATATTAATTAAGTAACGTATGAGATTTAAATGACAAACAAAAAAATATTATAATTTGAGCCATTGTATGTTACGTGAAATTTGTGTCACTGCTGTTGACATAACTGACATAAACTCATATAAACCTACCGCTAAGTAAAACAAAAGAAACATATTTTTCGAAGTTCGCTTAAAAAATTAGATATACTTGGCTTTTCTTATATTCGAAAATTAATTTATAATCGAAAATTTGAATTAACCACAACCTACACACACGGCTTATTAAATTTTTAATCAATCAATAATTTAGAACAGAAACAGTGCACATTTGGACTTAAACGATCACTTCAATCATACCATAAACTATTCTTAAAGAGTGTGAGGGAAGAAAAAAGAAATCAGAAAAATCTGAGAGTAATAATGGTGATTTACTTCATATGCTATCATATCATATGTCACGTCCTTTACTCATTTTTGTTGTTTTATTCTGTATTTGTACTGTTGTACATTCATAACACAATAAGTATGTGTATATGTATAAATATGAAGAGATGATCTGAATAGCGCCATCTGGCACTTTTAATTAATAAATTATATTTAACACAATTTATGTGAAGAATTTTTTTTTTAAGTAAAATATAAATGAAAAATTCTCTTAACAGAAAATTTATTACAAGATCTTAAGTATTTGTTTTAAATATTTTCATATATACTATTAGATTTACTACAGTTTTTAATATTTTCAATAAATTTTGATGGATGAAATATCTTTTAAATTTTTTCGAATTTCCTAATTTTCCCCCTCTTACTAAAAGATTATTCACCTTGCTTTTATAAACTACATACTTATATAAAATGTTTCAAATATTTTTAGCAAATACTTTAGGTACCGAACGAATTCTTCAATTTCAATTAAGATTATGATTGGAATTGTCTTCAAGTGGGATTAGATTAATTTTGTACAAAAAGTTTACCAATAAATTCAAAAATAAAATTCAAAGGCTAACCGTATTAAAGTCAATTTAAATATGGCACTTGTTCGCATGATTAGATTTAACGAATTGAATTTTAATACGGTTAGCCTTTGAATTTTGTTTTTGAAAAACTTTTTAAGATTTGATGCGATGAGGCAAAACAGGCTAAGTAAGAATTATTAATTGTTTTGGGAAATTTTCATGAAAAAAGTTGACTAACCAGAAACAGTTGAATGTTATAGTTCAGGTGAATGCAACATTTATTAATTTTTCTAAACTTAACCAGATTGATGAAATTAACGTATAGGATTTTTTTAAACTAATTGGGTAAATTTTTTTAAGTTGTTTTACTTCAATTTGTCGGTTCAAGTCAGTTTCACAAAAAAAATTTTTTTTAATTAATTTAAAGATTACCTTAAAAAAAGTTTTTATCCAGAAACAAAGTTTTCAAATAATTTTATAATTTCAATGGTGACTTTACGATAGATTTGAATTTTAAATTGCCTTTTATTTGTTAAAATTGGATTTTGATTTCAATTTTTTTTTCTTGAAATTCACAATTTTAATATACCCAGAGAAATTTCGTTTTCCCGTAAGCTGCACATTTATTTATTTTGTTGAATTTCAATTTTCAGCAATATAAAGGACAATTTTTTCTCTAGCTGACATTTTTGGCCCAGAAAATTTCGGAGTAATTGATTTTTCCCATTACTAAATTTCTTTAATTTTGAATAATTGAATGTACAAAATGTATTTAGACATTGAACCGATCTATTTAAAAAGAAAAATTCTGATAAATTTCAACATTTAAAAAGAAGCGCTCCAGCTTTTTTTTTCAATATTTAACAAATATTTGTTCAATTTCAATATAATAAATAAGTAAAATAAATGATTTTTTTAAAATTTCTGAAATTTTGACAAAAAAAATAATAAAATTGTGATTTAGTTTTTTAACAAAATATTTTAAATAATTAAAGATTTTTAATGTTATTTTGATATTACGCATTATCTCATAGATGTTTAATACTGAATTTCGGAAAACCTGAATTACTGCAATTAAAATAAGAATATTAAATTCGACTCAGCGAAAATCTAATGAAATTTCAAAATTCATCGTACTCGTATAAGTTGAAATTATAAAAAATTTCGGTGGTTTTTCTTCTTTTTAAAACCTTATAACTTGTTAAAATTGGTCAATCCTTTTATTTTTTCTTTAAATAAAAATTTAAAAAATAAAAATCAAACCAGTTTTTAATTATTTACCCTAATAATAGTACTTAAAATAAAACAGGGTGGTTCTGTATAGAGTACTACATATACCATCGTTTAAATTTGGACTATCAAAGATCAGAAAAACTTCGTTTAAGCTGCTAAACTCTGTTTTTCGTATTTAATTCAGCACCTTGAGAACTTTCACTTCTGTTCTTCCACTTTTTATGGAACTGATGTTTTAAGCTAGAAATACCTAAATAAGTATAAAAATTTCATGATATTCTCTAAAAACCCTTGTTTGTCGGAAATCGTTGATTCTTAACCCCTACTGCAAAACAAAAGTTTATCCCATTTTGTAATATTGAAGTCTAAGCTAAACAATGATGCGATATAATATTGTACTCTTTTCTAAATTACTCTATACAAGTACACATTAAAAAAGTAGCTTAAATTTGAGGTAAACTAAGGAAGGCATAAGTAAGTAAGGGTGTGCGTTTTTATTTTGAATTTTGAATATGCACATTTATTTAATCGCCTGAATGAATTACAGGAACAAAAATTAGTTTTTTTTTAACAATTTTATTTTAAAAATGAATGTTATGAAGAAAATTTAACTTCACTTACACCAATTTTATCTTACAGTAAATAGTAATAAAAGCTATCTAAAACATGACCTTCAAAAAATGTGTAGGTATAGATGATTTGTAAGTGATTTTGCATTCATATTTATAACACTTCTTTTCCAATAATTTTTTGTTTAAATATTTAGCAATTAGTAGTTTTGAAATACACGAAAAGTTCAATAAATTCAGGTAGTTATTAAGTTACTTTCAAAATAAACTAATCCTCTTGTGAATTTGGAAATTTACTTTTGATTTTACATACATACACAGTGTATTTTTTATATATGTATACACAGTGTATTTTTTTCTTAAACGTTGAAATAACAACAATAATTGAATTTCCATTTCAAATGGGTAATTAGGGTGGTAACTAACAATAAAACTTCATAGCAAATCATCTGTCGACTTAATTATTTGAAAATTAAAATAGTAACCAGTATGTTAGTAGGTAAGTAATTAAAAATATATTTAGATGTGAACAATCGTCTAATTGAAATTTAATGGAACGAATATAATATTCAAATAAATCTTGGTAAATACTAGTAGGTTTTGTAGCAATTTTGTTTTAATTTGTAATTTGTTATTAATTTGTTCGAGAATATTTTATACAATTCTGGTTTAACTAATGTAATCGCAATTATGCCACGGTTTAACACTGTTTTTGTGTATAATTAAAAAAAAAATTTAAAAAGTGAGCAAAATATTGAATGAGCAAAATTTATATACTTATGTAATTGAATCAGAAAAATTTTTATTATTTGATTTTTAGTTTAAACTTAATCAGATTCCTAATTAAGTGGGTACTAGCTCTTTAATGTTTATTTATCCAATATGAATAGAATTTGCGAATGTGAAATAAATTGGGACGGTTCCGTTTTTACTTTTAGGTTTATGAAATTAATATTAGATCATAGGAAATTAATGCTTTATTCTTACATACAAAGATCCCATTATCATATTATAATTTCTGAAAAGATAGAAATAACTAATTAATATAAAAATATTCATAAATACAATCAGGTACTCGCGTACCAATTTATACGATTTTGAATTCCAAATGTTACTAAATCATATTTGGTACCTACCTAGGTAAATATGTATTCAAAGTCTGACATTGAATTTAAACAACAGAAAGTATCGTTGCTTACATCGTGTACTCGTAGATCAAATGGCCAAAATTTAAATTTGAATGGGTAAGTATGTTTATATGTATAGTATGTTTATAGGTAAATATGTATATGTATAATTACAGTAGGTAGATTTAAGGATCTATACCTGAAATTTTCATTTTAAATAACCCAGAAATAAATAAATAATCAAATTTTTTGACAAAATTATCTACCATTTACCAAACTAGTTATCATGGTGGGTAATTATAGTATATTTAATAGTTTTTACCTGGGTAACAAAAATTCCTTAAATAACACAATTATTGCTTATGTATGTTGGTACATGAAAAAGTAAACTTTTTAACAATGAGTTCGATTAACAATGAAATTTTGGCAATTATACATACCTTTCTTGGCCTACTTACTTTTCTATTTAGTTTATTATTTTTGATTTATATGTAGATAATAGATTGTAATCCAACAATTAAAGATTCAAAATTATTACCACTTTAAACCGTCTAAGGATTCAAGAGCTTTAGAAACAAAACGTCAAAATTCTTGTTTACTAGAGTACAATACCCCTATTTTTTTATTACTTGCTTGATTGTTTTTTCTTTCTTTATCATTATTTTTATTATTGTCTACCTCGTCTACTAGTCTGTCTGAATCTATAATATTTGAACCAGCCAGTTCCCCCTCTTTTATTTAGAGAAAAAAAAATCATATTAAAAAGCACACAAAAATCATTCATAAAACAAAACTTTTGACATTTTACTTTTGTTCCCATTTCAATAATAATAAAGAATAGAAAATAAATACAAGTAAATGTTTTTATTATTAAGATTTTTGGAAAAATTTCAGATTAATTTAAAATCAAAAATTTGTATTTTATTTGATCTATTTTTTATCCACATTAGCTCGGACAACCTAGAAACTATTCCATAACTTTCAAATTTATTTTAATATTCAATGGTTTATAATTAGAGTAAATAGCTAAAGTAGATTATTAAAGTAGTTATACAATATGAATTAATTAAAAACAGGAAACCGTGTCTAAATACCTAAGTGAAATAAAAGAACAATATTAAAAAAACTTACCCAATTTTATGTAATTTTTTAAATTGTAGAGGAATTTCAAAATCCCATTCAAAAAAAATTTCTTATTCAAACTGTGATCATTTTATACGAATTGCATTTTTATTTAAATGCTTTGTTTTTTTGTTTTTCTTCCACATTCATATGATTTTAACGATGCACAATATTTTTGAAATCACAAAAAAAAAAAAAGAAAAAACAAGAAAACTTTCGAACACCTTTTAATAAAAAAAGTGGATTAGATTTTTTTTTGTTTTGTATGTTATTGATATAATTTTCTACTTTTTCTATTTAAACTACAATATTTTAACAAAATTTAAATTATTAAAACAATATTTCTATTAATATATTAATAAATTTATTAAATACATTAATTTAAATTCGTAAAAATTAAAAATTTCCCGCAAAATATACGCAATGCACGTACAAATAAATTGAAACCATTGCAAAAAAAACAACACAAAACTTGAAAATACATGAAAAAAAAAGTAAATTCAATTTGGCATTTGAAATTTTGACATTTTGTGTTTTGTCAAAATAATAGACGCCGACATATTATAAAACGACGCTCGGGATTTTTTTTTGCATATAGGGTTGTATTTTTTTATTAGAATGGTGAATATCTTTTTTAAATTTAAAATTTTTGAAAATTTGAAAGCTGTAACAGACCGGAAATATTACAATAAAATTGTAATTCAAAACATTTACCTTATTTGATTACCTACTGATTGAATCATTAATTAAGTGAACAGCTACTTTATTATTTTCTTAAATCAATAATTTTTTACATAAATCCGTATAATTAATATTTACATAATATGTAAGTGAAAACCATTTTTGAAATTCAATATTGATATAAAGAAAATTGAAGATATAGAGAATGTATGTGTGTTTATATATTATCTGTACATACATATGTGTGATAATATATACACATCTCTTTATGATAATTTCTTGGACTTTTCTTTTAGTTTTAATCCCGACTTTAACTAGTATTGAAAATGTAAATTAAGTTAAGTCTTATGTATGCATATATGTATACTTACTAAAAATATACATGTGTGCATTTGTACTGCAGCAGGATAGCAATAATAGCAATTTTGAATTTAAATTCAATATTAAACTGCTTTCTTTTTTATAAGACTAATAGACCTTCATCATAAATCATACCTTTTTTATAAATTTCAAAAATATCAATAATAGTACATAATATATAATTTTATTATGAATATATTTTTAATAATTATAATATGTAATTCTATTAAATTCTTGAACAACTAAAAAGTAGTAATGCACTGATTCTTTTGAATGGAATATGTACACTGTTACTAGTATTTTATTTGCTCATTTCATGAAATCATTATTATTAAAGTTAAAAAAAATATTATTAAGCATGCATAATCTTCAAGAATAAAAACTATTTATTAAAGATTTTATTAAACTATTTCGAAAATATGTACTCGAGATTCACAAGAAAATAGGTTGCGAAATCTCTAAATCAAATATTTAGCCAAAACACACAATTATCTTTTTATTGGTAAAAATTATCACCAATATTTTGTTGTTAGACGGATCGCTTCAGGCGATATGATATTATTAAAAAATATTGTAGGTTTTAATTATAAAATTTCAAGCTTTGAAATTGATTATTAAAAATTATAATTTCTCTGAATAATATTCGGAATATGGTGTTCGTGTATATCATCAAAATACAACAATGTATCCACAATATTCGCTTGCTCCTACATAAACTTAAATTTTCACTACGATTTTGTATACTTGACGAATTTAAGGAACGTATTAAAAAATTTCTTTTAAAGAAATCAATTCAATCTTAACTTGAATGAAATTTTAATTAAAAAAACATTTTCAAATTGCATTAATAATAAATTTCAAATAAAACATATTTAATAGAATTTCAATTCAAAGATTATTGATTTTATTTTCAGATATTGTAAGTAATTATTTTATTCAATTAAATTTGGTTGTTTCTTTTTTTTTAGCAAAAATATATGTATTACAAATTATGTGTAAAAAAACTAATGTTAATATTTGCTTTGCTTCTTTTATAATTTTCCATTTTGTTCCAAAAAGAAAAGAAGTTAATTATTTATTTATTTTTATTACATCTTATTTAAACCTAATATAAAATTTATTATCAAAATCAAAATTATTTAATATTTTCATATGAATACAATAATCATAAATATACATTATAATAATAAGTTTAATTAAAAATATTGTATAGTTAAAGAAGGACGTATTATATTATATTTGTTTAATAAATTTACTTTCCATAAAAATACAAAGGCAAGCTTAATAATTATGGACATATTATATTATTGTTTATATAAAGATACTAAAATACAAAGTAGGATTAAATAAAAGTTAAAAAGAATATAGAAACTGTATTGAAAGGTATATTTATTAAGTAAATTTAATAAAATCCTAATTAAAAGCTTGCATTTTAATAATTATACATGTTGTGAATTTTTTATCAAATTCACTACTTTTTAACTCCTTTGGTTAATATTTTGTTCATTATGCTTGTTCTTGAATAAAATTTTGTTGATTTAAATTTAAAATAAAATGCGATACCTGAAAATAATTGTATTAGTCAGTAAGATTACATACAATTTGAAAACATGATAAAAATAAATTATAATTTTTATATTTATGAAATAAAAATGCATAACAAAAAATAATCTTTCACGCCTTCTGTGTTTATTCAAATTAGCGATTAATGGAATTAGTAATTAGTTTAGTTTAACTATTTCATTTTACATTCATATATTATGATAATAATTTGATAGTATTGAAAGTTAATTATTTATATATTATCTAAAAAATAATATATTTTAGGTAGATAGTTGTGTTTTGAATGTTTTTAGAAATTATACTGTTTTTAGAATAATTTGTAATTTTTATTTATCTATCATTTAATTTTTAGTATTTAATTTTTTGCTATTCAATTGTAATAGTTTTTAACACAAAATTTTAAAGTTTGACAGCCTCTAATTAATATTTTTCCAACTTTTCCAATTTGAAATTTCAAAATATTTAATTTATTATGTCTTTTTAAAATTGAAATAATATTAATACAAATATTTAATATTTTAATTTCTTTTTTTTCTCCCTAAAAAAATGTTGCAATTTTTAAACAAACTGATAATTTAAATTTAGCAATTTTTAAATTTTAACAAGTGAATATTCGAAATACTATAAGTAATTATAAAGGTAGGTACATAATATTCTCGTAGAGCATAATATGTTTTAAATATATTTTTTGTAATATAAGTTTTGTTGTTTTCAAATTGTTCTTAAATTTTCTCATTAATATTTCTTTTGCTACGTTCCAAATGTAATTCAAAAAGTAATTTATTTTTATTATAATAATATGGATTTTCATCTTGATTCAATTCCGGATTATAGGTACTATTATCTTCAATTTCAATATGACTAGATGCTATATGAACTAAATGACCATTTTCATGATGATGATGATGATGGTGATGATGAGAATGCGATGGTTGATGATGGTGTTGCTGATTGTTTCCATTATGTACCGAATGACCATTAATATGAGTATTTCCATTCATGTAAACAGCTGGTTGATTTAAAGGCATTATCAATCCATTATGATGACCATTATGTTGTTGATTAGAATCTATATTATAAGTGTTGTTAATATGAAGCATATTAATTCTTTTCGATAATGGCATATGATCTTCATTATTTCCATCTTCTTCTCTAGAACGTTTCCTAAAAGGAAATAAAATAAAATGAATCACATTTAGTTATTAATCGTAAAACTCTAAAAGCCCTTAAACTAAATCTGTTAAAGAATTTTACATGATTAATACCTATTTAATAAAGAACATTTCAAATTCCCCCCTTCCATTTTACAAAATTTTGGTCAACTTACAATATACGCAATTGACAAAATTGTGAATAATTTTTTCAATATCCAATTACATAATAAAACATATTTTTTTGTAAACTTATTTTTTAAATTCACTCTTTTTGAAAATTCGTTTCTTGAATTTCAGTCTATGAATAACCGAAATATTTTATTAATACCGACTATTAATATTACAAAAAAAAAACTAATTTATGGACAAAAAAATTTCTTACCTATCATTAATCGATGCTGTCATTTTGAAATTGATGATTATAATTTAGTTATAAAATTTCCATTAATTTTTAAGTTCTACTTTTTCTTTGTACACACTGTAATTTAAACAGTGAGTATTTATATAGAGATTTACTTGATTTGAATTTTATTTCACTGCAATAGCAATAGTTTATGAATGATAAAAGATTGACTTCACAGCTGATTTGTGTTATATATATGAATAAATATGTACATATTACAAAGTAATTACTAAAATTTATAAATGTCATTTTTTATTAAAAGACGCTTAAATATTTTTGTAGCGTCTTTTTAAATAATCTGACCTCTATCGTTGAAAAATATAATTATTATACAACATAAAACAAAATCCGCAACCAGAATGAGGAAGAGCAAATGTAAATGTAAAAAACAAGTGAAAATAATGAAATTTCGCATATGCATCATTCGACTTTTAAAATTATGAAATTTTATGTTATTCAGTTTGCATTTTAACAAAATATGTGGTTTGTACAGCTAAAACGTGAAATTTTACCGTTAAATTTATTCTGAGAATTAATTTTTCTAGTTTTTTTTTTTTAATTTTTAAAATAATTTTTTAATTGCTATTCAGTTACAAACGCTATAACAGTCAACGAATTAGAAATACTAAATAAAGAAGCATCTTTGTTTCTATCTCGCAAAAAAATCGTATTTTGAAAAACCACACAGTGAAATCAAAACTTCAGGTAAGTCTCTTTCTTTGTTCCAAGCATTGTCAAAGTTAAACTGACATTTAATACCAAATCTTTTTTTTCTTCGAAAAAGTAAACAACACTGGCACAAAAATTTGATTTCCAACCGGTAACTTTTATTTGTCTGCTTAAAAATAGAAGTTTCATTTGACATAAAAGATTTTTATATATACATGACATATATTTAAATAACAAAAATTACCAAAAACAGAGTAAGCGTATGAATGCATGGAGCGTAGAAAAGATTATGGGTAAGATTATGGTATTTGTGTAAGTAAACGTATATAATCCACGAATATGTATGTGGAGAAGTAAAAAACACGTTAGTATTACAATCATTACAAAAGTTTATTAATTCAAATAATTTCTAATTAACCAAGAGAGTATACACACTACAGGAGTACGCTTTAAACTTCTAAAATTTTGACTAATTAACTTTAGTCTTAACATTCAACTTAAAAAACTTGGCAATTAAAAGTTAACAACTACAAAATAACAACTTCATTATACGGGAAGGAATTGGAATTAAATAAAATTAATTATTATTGCGAAAATAAATTCAATTTAACAATAAAAAACTTAAATTTCAAAAAATTACATAAAAAATTTAAAATTTAGTATCGGACCTGCATAAAAGATCATTGATTATAGAATGTTAGACACAATAACTTTCTTTAATTATATTTAAAAAAAAAAAGAAATGTTAATAAATTAAAAGATGTTAAAAGTTATCTTGCAAATATTCAAATACATGTTCAAAAACCAACATCATAATAGCTCCTCCGGGACCCAGTCTCATTACTTTAGGTACTAAACCTTTGTATAATGCTGCTAAACCTTCTTCTTTATAGACAATTAAAATGCTGTTAATTGTGCCCTTGTACTTTATCTTATTAGGATCAGGTTGTGGACCTTGAATTCTGGATTTCGCTACATCAAAAGGTATGTTAAACAATGATGCCAAAGTTCCAGATACAAAACCTATACAAAACTTCTTTAAAAACTCTAGTGTAGGGTCCGGATTAACTGAATACATATCTTTAACACTGTTATAGAAACCGAAATAAACCATGTTAAATGCACCATTTCTAGACATTGTGGCTGTTAAGCCTTTATTCAAGCCTTTTGAACCAAATCCATTTTCATTTATAATTCGTTTTGTAACCGTAAACGTGTTAGCGGCTTTTCTCTATTTAAAAAATATATCGTATGAAATTTTATTCATGAAGAAATTTTTTCCTTTACCGCATGTGCCTTGTCTGCTTGTTGAGTTACCTTTACAACTTCAAATGGGTTAACTGCAACAGCTTCTGTAACTCCTGCACCCAAACCAGCTAACGAGAATGTCTAAAATCAATAGGAATATATTAATATTTTTTAAGCTCTTGGTGATTTAAAAAAACTACAAGAGGTGTAGGTTTTTCATGACCAAACATAAGTAAGGGTTTCAACTGCTCAAAACACACAAATTTGAGAGCCCGTTTTGGTGTCTCAGCCATTATAGGTGGAATGATACCTTTCCAAAATGAAAAAACTCCTTCATTTTTGTACATTTTTTTGAAACAGTCAAAAACTCCTGTGTATAACTGTAAAATAAATAAATAAAAAATTCGAAAATGTGTTTAAACAGTAAAATCTTCTAATTTAATTTTAAGAACCTCTGTTTTAGATTTCGTTACTATTTTATTTTGTAATTGGAGGCGAGTTTTGACCACATCTAATGGTTGCATGATCGAAACTTCAACAAATCCAGCTGATCCTCCTGCTAAAATTTGGAAGCATGCTCGTTTTAAGCCAGTCGTTTCTTTTGCATTATCTGACGGCATAATTATTTTCTAAAATTGAAAATAAATGACAAGTATGTATTTAGAAAATTCAAATAATAGTGCACACTTTCTACAAATATACTTTTAATTAGAAAACCAAAGATTTTTTAGGGGCAAACTGAAACTTTAACTGTAAGGTTAAACTCAAGGTTACGAAATGTTTTTGGGGATTTAATTATAAAATATAAAAAAAAAGTTTTTAAAACTGAAGAGTAGTGGCTACAATTTTTACAACTTTTATAATATAAAATGAAGAATATCAGATTTATACAATTTGTATTATAGCAGTTTTGTATGTTCATACAATTTGTATAATACTTTTACATTATTATTGTAACAAGTTTTTCGACACATACATACATACTTACATATATATTGTCATATGATAATAAAATTCAAACCTGTAGGAATTATATTAGTTCAAAAACATATTGATTAAAGGTTATTTTCCCCAAACAAGATCCAAACAATATATACATAATTTTGAAACAATTTAATAATTTTTAACACAGTTGTAACAAAATTTTTATTCTATGCACATAGTACCCCTAGATATTGAGTCTCTATATATTATGGTACACCAAAGTACACAAAATGGAACACATAATCAAAGGCAAACTGCGGCAATTATTTTAAACAACTAATTTAAAATGAATAAATTTGCGCATTTTTCTAAAACTAAATGGAAACTAAAATTTGACATTATTGCGTTGAGATAACTTCTATACTGCAATAAATTTAAATAAAACTATATATTCGAAATAGTTATCAATCTTCTTACATTAGTAGAAAATCCATTTTAGATCGAAAACCAAACAATTTTATGGTGGTGTTTATAAGGCTGATCGAATTTACATATTATATTATACATATTGAATAAAACCGGTGAAAATAAATATGAATCCAAATATTTACATATGTATGCCCATACGGAAACCCGAAAACAACAAAAGAAATTTAAAATAAAAATTTCATTATTTTTGATTGTATATACTATAATGATTTACATACATACTTTTGGTTTGTTATTCATATACTTATAATTATTATCATTTAACTTGATAATTATACTTAAATACACTTACACATACTTGTGTATATTGTATATGTCGTATATATAAATGAAATGATTGTTTATTATTTCATTTCTTAAAAATAAAGTCGTTGGCTTTTACAAAATTAAATTATTATATTTTGTACTTATAATGAAAATTATTATTAATTTTTCATATTGTAATATTATTAAAATTTTAATTCATACAAGTACCTTGAACTGTTTTTGCCCACAGATAACAATATGACGAAAGCTGAAATCAAACTAAAAGTACTTTTTGAAAAATTTAATACTTTTTCTTATTTTTATTGTACCTAGCTATCTAGAAATATAATATTGTTGATTTTTTAAAGACAATATTGTATTATATCAGAAAAATACTTGTTTACACTTTCTTATATCTTTTAATATAAATAAAAAAAAAAATCAGCCAACGGGTACTTCACTACAAAATATTATTAATGTTTCGCACTCTCAATTTTTGGTTAACAATTATTATATATGTGTTGGTATTATGTAAAAAGAATAATAATTAACATAGATGAGTTTTAATAAAATTTATATTTCATAATAGATATTATTATTTTATATAGGGTGAGTAACAATAAATTCACTGGAACACAAAGTTCAATCAGTAAATTTTAAATCAATCTAAAGACATTTCGAAAATGCAAATTCGATAATAAAATTAGGAAAAAATTTAATTATACAGATTTAGGAAAACAGGAAAACTGTGAAGATACAGAAAAAGGAAAATTAAAATTTTATACACAAATAGATTTTTTGCAAAAAACCAATTAGCATTAAAGAAAATTTCCATTTGCTTTTGTTCTTTGAAAACTTTGAGCATTTTCTTGAATTCCTCAAACGTTGTGATTAATAATTATTAACCTCTATCGAACTTTCAATTTCTCGTTTCATCTATTATTTGGTAAACTCTCTATTTTGGAAAGACTTCCTAACACTTTATCCAGTTTTCGATTCTTAGCAACAATACACTTAATAATAAAAATGAATCACCTTGTATTTATATATGACCTTGTAAAATCATATTCTGATAGAACTATGCTTTTGAGGGATTTGGAAAAATTAGTAAGTTAAAATTTTTGTTTCCGTTTTGAATTGAAATATTTTTTGAATTCATATTTCTCTTACCTTAATTTATCAAATAGAGCTTTCAATATATTAACTGTTAGGAGAGGTGAACTACATCGTCGTTATATACAAAACGTAAGATTTCGATATTCTATCTACTTTTTTGAAAATATGTTACTTAATCTCAAAAAAACTTTGTAAAGTAGTGTAAATATGAGTATAAAATTAAAATTTTAGTAAAAAATTATTTTCCAAAAATAATTCAAAATTAATTACCCAAATTATCTTTTACTTTTTTTTTGTTTATCCTTTATGACATTTATGTATGTATATAAATTAATTTATTATATATATATATTTTAAAAATATAGTTGGATTAATATTATATAGGCATATTATGTATGTATTGTCGATTCAATATTAATTAAACGATTAAAATTTGACCAATTTCGAAATAAGTATGTGTTTCGCGGGCCGTTAATATTTAACTATGAAAAAATCTAAGAATTTGTTGCGAATTCCACAATACTGAGAATTTTGGAATTTTTAAAAAAATAATAATTAAAAATCAAATATTTATTTTTATTTTTAAAACAGATTTCGAAAGTAGCTTAAGGATGGGACCTATACGTTAAGTTTATCTTAAATGTAAACATAAACTTATGTAGATTATATCAACAGTTTTATATTTTAAAGCTTTCATTATTGAGCTTTCAGTGAACTTACAATTTATAATTTCTGGCTATTTCTCATCACTTGCCAATTAAATTTTTTATTAATTGTTATCAATATCAATATAAATTTGCTTTGAATATAATATTTGAATGTGTAAGTAGTTCTTGTGTGTAGAATACCATATGAGAAAAATAAAAATTAAATTTGTATTTATACGTAGTTACTTGTCAAATGCGAGAAGTTGCAATTCACATTATGAAATTTTCTCTAAAGAATTAAGGAGAATACTTAATTGAAAACAAAAACAACTTAGAAATAACGAAACTTTCAAATAACGAAATTTTCAAATTTTTTCCGATCAATCGTCTATTTTTTATATCGTATTTTATACTCATTTACAAAATACATCAATTAAATACTTACCCATTCAAATATTCAAAAAAGTTTTATTTTTAATGATAAAAAAGCAGTCTAATTTTTTTTACATAAACAATGTCAATTCTTTTTATAATTGATTTTCCTCTCTTTAATTCTTTTTTATTGAACTTCTCTTTGGTTTTTTATTTTTTTTTCTTTTTGTTGTTTTATGTGTAAGTTAACAAGATTAGTGGTATCGAACAAAAAAAAATAACTGTTTTTGGGAATAAATTAATCCAAATTTTATTGTACTTAGGCGGTTTTCGACCTACCCCACTAGTAATTATCCCTACCACTAAAAACGCACTTGCATTTTCCGAAAATATTAAATTACTGCACTATTTTATACGCTTTATTTAATATTTACTTTCATAACTCATGAGCCTAACAATCCATGACAGTTAAAAAATTTTAAGAGCAAAAGAAGTCTTACCATATCACATCAGTTTTTTGTTTTTACTGGATTCCGGCGTAAAAATATTTTATTTTAATATTTTTTACTTATATTTTTATTATGGGTAACTGTTATACATGTTTATAGTATAGTAGTTACTATGGAAATATGTCTGCATAAAATGTTACTTCCAAAAATGTTATTACATATTTTTATGCTATTCATCTTCTTCGATCTTCTTTTTACTTTTGAATACAACTTCAATTCTAGACTTTTGTTCAAAAAGTAATTCTTTTGTTTTATGCAAATGTGTCTGAAATTATATTCAAATAAACATACACCATATGTATATTTAAATCGTATTTCAATATGAAGTGAAAAGCTCAAAATTGAATAAATCAATGAATGACAAAAAAGTAATAGCAAGGAAATCGTATTACGCACTAATATACGTATAACCTCAAAAAGTTTGGATTCAATAAAGAACACTAATTTTATAACTACATAACTACAAATTTAGTTTATCGGAAAAAGAAACGAAACGGAATGAAAAAATTAACGTAAACAAAACAAACAAAAAATAAAATACGATAAGTAACTTAACTAAAGGGTGGCGTTTCCATAAACCATAAAATCCAAGATTGAGCCTGCTATAAAATTTGGTTTTATAAAAAAAATTATTAACAAAAAAACAGCTTATCTCTATTCCAAACTTCTACAAAAAAATAATTGCTCCATTTTACTTTTAAAATATCTGACAGCAAAGCTAAAGAGAATAGAGTAATATGTATTACGTACTACACAACAAAATCTAAGACTTACAGCCTAGTCGTACATCTCGCTTTTTTATTCGCTTTTTATTTACTTTCAAATCAGAATTCTCCGTTTTTCTAATGGATATTTCTATTTTCCAATAAGATTACTCATTTTTTCTGCATTTTTTTCTTAAATTAACGACTGAACGTGTCACTTTCAAAAACAAAATGAATAAATTTTGTATTCAATTAAAAAAACGAGATACGTAATACCGAATAATTACATTATATGAATATATAATAGTGACTCACTTTCTTCTCACTTGCCAAGTAAAATAGCGAAATAGCTGATCAGGTCCTTAATATAAGCCTAAAAGGTCGTATAATCTAAACATTGTTTGACATCAGACTTTATCTGACGGTAAATCATAGAAATTTCTCATCCTTACTGTTTAAATTTAATATTTTTTTAATCTAAGCTCTGTGTGTTACTAATTTTCCTTTTTTTTCTATTTTCATTATATTTGTACTTTCATTATTTGTATTTTTTAAAAACAAAAGCTAACGCATCGAATAACAAAAAAAAATCAAACAATGACAAACGTCAAATAATAATCAAATACAAACAAAATTAAATAATTTCTGATCAAATAATGCAATACCTACAGATTAATTTTTTTAAAACGCTATTTATAAGATTTATTTGACATACTCAAATAAGTTAATTAGTTTATTTCGAAAGAATTTTCTTATTTTTTAGGCGTAACATGTAAAATGTATGAAATATGTAGTGTCAAAAGCTTGACATAAAAGTCTAAAAATATTCTGATGTGTAAACGCTCTTGATAATTTATCGTAGGTTTAGCCTTGAGAATATATCAAAAAATTGAGCAACTTAAGCAAATTAATCGATTTTATAACAAAATCAAAACAAATGGCATATCCCTACTATTTTCATTTTACTAATTAATCTTCATTAAAGTTTTGTTTTTATTACAACCTTTTAATTAAAAAATAAATACCTACCTATTGGAATGTCGATGAAAAAGGTTTTCAAAATTCATCTTTACTAGGCAATAATTGCTTATACAATATAAAAATACAATCTTTTGTTTGGATTTTTTTAAAGAAAAAAATTGTTATGGTTTCACTTCAAAAGCCAAAATTTTTAAAACCGGTTGGTAAGTTGAGCTCATACTTTTTTATTTCAAAATGAATATGAATTTTTATTTACAAGGTGAACATAAACTTGTTCACGAAAATTTAGTTTCCAGTAATCTTTGTAAAATAAAAATAAACTGTTGTGGTCAAAATGCATTAGATAGTGTGGCATTGAATCTAGTTGACATATTATTTTTATGTACGTACATATAAAGAAACTTGCAAAGAAATAAACTGTGTTTGTTCATATCTAGAACATCACCATGTCCATAATGTTTATAAAATACTAATTAATTTTTTGTTTGCTTTGGATGTCTTTTTTTTTCATTGAAATTTCTTTATTTCTCAAAAATACATAAAACTAAATAATAATTCAATTGGAATATATGTAAGCATAAAGGGGAAATATTTTCAATTTGATATATTTGTCTTTCATACATCTATAAGTAAGTTTTACGTTTTATTCCAGGTTTTGTTACAATCACGAAACAGTGAAATGTTATTTTAAATCATTGAATTTTACTACATATTTCGTGATTAGCAACTTGTTTTTGGAGGAAGTGAAGTAAATATACAATATATTAATAAAAAAAATTTGGATTGTTATATACCTAACCAATTCGCAAGTATTGCACATTTCAGCATTGTTTTTTTTTATTGCGAGAGTAAATAAGAGATATAAAGAGACTACAAAATTATATGTACACCTATATTTCAGAAAACCGCTAAATTTTGTATTTTAGATATATTTGAATTGAAAAGTAATTCTATGAATTAACTCATCACATATGTGTATTTATAGAATCATTTAATTTTGGAAAGTTTATTTCTTCTCATACCAATGTCATGCATGCAGCGTCTAATGAAATCCGAAGTTTTATGTTTTTGAGCAAATTAAGTGACCTTGACATACATACAACGTTATTAGACTATAATAATATAAATTTAATTTTGTATACAAATAATTCATTGCCTGTTTTCCTTTTCCCGCAAAAACCTAATATATCCCTAAAAACATATTTTATAACTCAATTGCAATTCAATATTCTGTAAAGTAAAAAAATCATTAATACACCTTCTATCAAAAATAAAGAATATTAATTTATTAATAAATTAAATTATTTTTATAGATGACAGTTTCTTTGTATCAGATAGAGATCTTCAACCAACTGATGACAAAATTACTACATTTGTGTATAATGCGAATTATTCACTAGCCTTAGATGCGCAACGCGAGCAACTTCCTATTAGGAAATATCGTGATCATATATTATATTGCTTAGAAAATTATCAGGTGCTAATTTTAGTTGGTGAAACTGGTTGCGGTAAAAGTACGCAAGTGCCACAGGTAGGAAAATTTTTATTTTATTTAGTCATACATTTTTTTTTATAATACTAGTAGTAATTGTTGTAAGTTACAATATGTAGAAAAATTATCATATGTGTAAGTTTTTATTTTATAAAAAAACCCAAAGTGATGTACTATGCATTTGTAATTTTTTATCGACCGCATTGCATACGATAAGAGGGAAATAGTTTGTTTACTGTATGTACATTGCGTTTTACGTTTCCTCTTAAAAAGTTAACAATAAAGTATTTCCAGTATTTATTTTGTAGTTTTGATATCAAAATAAAGAAAAATAATAAAATAAGTACAAAATTTAATTTGTAGAAAAAATTCTTAAAAAAGTAAAATAATAAAATGGAGCAAGGAAAATAATACTGCAGTTTTTTAAAAATAAAAAAAAAGACGGCACTTTTGTTTTTTAACTTTTGCTTAACAAACTTTTAATAAAAACATATTTGCGAGTTGCGTGACTACATCCATCGCTAGGGGTAGATTTTACACCTTAATAAATTTTCTTGGCTGTTTTGTTACTATGTATTATGTTTGCGAGAAAATACTTAACGGATATCAAATTTTCTGTTTTCAAATGGATAAAGTAAATTGGGCTAGTGTATAGTTCTGAAGCAAGATTTAATTGCTGATTTAATTGCTATAAAAAGTTATATGATAGAGTGTATTCAGTGTTTTTTGAAATAAAAAGTTTTCGGATACAATATCGATGAACAAAATAACTTTTGCTGGATGATTTTTTTGAAAATCGTTATGTAAGACTCCTTATATAAAAAAATTGAATTCAGAATCTAATTTAATTAAGGAACGGAATTTGCAAAAATGTTAATCGGTTTTAACAAAACTTTTGCAGTAATAAATTTCATAGTCGCCCATGATTTGTTCTTTTCTTATCTCAAATGCTTTGCTTTTCAATTACATATAAAATATTTTTAGCATTCGTTAGAACTACTCTTGCATTATATATCAAAAAATTTTTATTTTTAATGTTATAAGTGTTATCATATATGTAATTAGATATTTATATCTTTAACCCATAAATTTATATTATACTAGTAAGACAATTTAAAACTATAAAAAAAAATCATTCATATTTTTATATTTTATAGCCTAATTGTGAATTATTCACTGGGTTAAACAAAACTGGGTGAGTTTCTTAACGTCGTTTAATTTTTTTTTTTAGTGAAAAGAATTTTTTACGATAACTGCATACATGCATTCATTACAAAAATATACAAAATTCATGCATTAACCTTTTCTTGTAGGTGAATTTAAAAATGTTTACTTATATTTTGAGGAAAAATTGAGAAAATCCAATTGGCAAAATGAAATTTCTAATTTGAAAGTAATTTTAATTAAAGTGACTGAAAAAGTTTGCTAATTTAAATTTCCAATTCAATAAAATTTGTTAACAAAACTGCAGTTTTGTTTTTTTCTTTCTGTAAATACTGCAGATTTCGACAAATTTTTATATAATTTTCCAAATCATTAAACATATTTTAGTTATTATCCAATGAAAGCCAATGATCAAATGCAGGTGCATTTCGAAATTTTACAAAACTAAATAAAAATTTAGTTAATAATTCGAGCGTTAACGATTAAAATTTCATTAAAGGGTCAAATTTTTTTCGATATTTATAAAATTAGGTGAACATTAAAACTGCAGCAATTAAGAAACGTTAAAATATTAAATGTTGCAATACCAAGTTTACATTAAAAAGGGAAAAATAACGTCAACTAGTGTGTATGCACTATTATGAATATTACAGTTAGGTATCTAAAGTTTTTTATCAGTTTCTGTTTATATAATGATAATAGTAAAAGCGTTTAATTAAGTATTTGCTCGTGCTTACTTTCAAAGTAATTTTTTTAAAATCAGTGCAAAAATATTTTTGTAAAAGGAGGTAACCTTAAAATTGCTAAACTTAAATCTTAAAAAAACAAAAATCATCTCGCTATAATTTACATAATTATTGTGTTTTTCGTTGTATTCTGTAATTACATTAAGAGTAATAATTCTTGATATTCTCTCTTAATTGTGGAACTCGTTGCATTATTAGTATTATTGAATAATACATGCAATGCATAAACATAATAGCAATAATATACGGATCCACCTAGAAAGAATTTTTTAAATAGTGTTATTAATTTCAAATAATATAAAGTGAATGCAAAATAATATTTTATTAATAAATTATTGTATTTTAATGTGCGTATCTTAAAATAATAATTTATTTTTCGAAAAATTATAAAGAAGTCTACGTACAGGAAACAAAAAATAATATGTATTTCTAGAAGTGTTTAAGTTATCTAGTAATATGCCGCCGTTTTATTAGATAAAAATACCCCCGTGTGTTCTGGCACTGACTAAACTGGTTTTTACATTAGTTTGTCAACTATTTAACTACATTGACCGTGAAAAAGCAATTACTTCCACATTCTTATATCTTAGAAAACAATATTTCAAGATCACTTAATCGCTCTTAAAACTAAAAATATGTAGTCCATCGATTCGAGTTAAGTATATGACTGCTTGATTTGTGTTTTAAAGAAATTATAACACAACTATTCAAGCTGTATGTTTGTTGGCCGAAGTTTTGTTAATAAATGAAATTATTTTATAAGCCTTTTATTATAAGCCTTTCATTTCAGCCTGGGAATTAGTTAGTTAGTTAGAAAAAATTGTCTAATTTCTAGATACAATGGCTACTAAATTTGTGTTTGTGAAATTCTATGGTTCTTTTCTGGATATCAAATTTTAGTACGGATTAGGAAAGGATAAATCTTAAATTTTTTTGTTTTCTTTAACATTAAAATCATTATTAATTCCGAAATTTTTAACCTCTTATTGAAAGATTGATTTAGTAAATGTGCTGCTGATTTCTTAACGGTTAAAAAATTTTAGTTTATCGCTACTTCTTACGAATTAAACAAATTATCGTTCTGTGTTTCCAGACTAATCTTCTTCTTCACCTTTCTTTTTTAATATTCCACTATATTTCGTTCTCATTTTCCACAAACTAAATTTGTATTTTTTCAATTACACGTTTAATTTCTGTTTTCCTTTTCTGAATTTTTAAAGGTGAAATCTAAAATTTTTAAAGATAAAGCTAAGAATCTACTAGCACTAGCAATATTTTTTATTGTTTTTTTTTTTTTTCATTAATTAAATTTTGAACTGTCCACTTGATAATAGAATACAGGGTTGTCAAAATTGGAAAAAACGAAATTTCAATATAATTTTTGAAACATTGTTTCTTTTTCTTTTTTTTTTATAATTTTACATTTGAAAACTTAAAAATCTTGATGCCTTGTATTATTTAATACCATTGTTTACTTTAATAACAAAATTTTTTGTTTAAATTTATTTGAATTTTAAAAAATCGAAAAAATTTTGGATACACCATTTGACAAATATTTCAGTGCTAACAATATCACAGACACAAAATCAAATAAATTCTGAGCATAACACATCGTCAAATTTTTTTTGTTTATATTTCAGAAGATGATGATACAATGTGTCTCAAGCATTGTAAATAGAATTTCGAAGATACCCACAATAATAAGCGGACAAAAATCATATTAATTTTACTTTATACACTCCTCCCTTTAAAACTAAATTTCAAGTACCCATACATACAAACATACATACAAAAAAGAATCTAGTTTTTAAAAAATGATAAGGAAATGAAGCATTGTTCGTAAAAAAAAAGAAAGAAGATCATTGGTGTGAAAATAACCATTGAATCTAACATTGAATTTTAAAATATTTTGTATGGCAACTTGCAAGTTGTTTATATTTTAATTTATAACAGTTATACATTGATATTATGTATAACTGTTATTAATTTTATGCAATTTATAATTAGTTCACACCTAAGTTTAATATTTATTTTATGTAAATGAATTTCGAATACTTTGAACAGAATCAAATATTTTTTTTTAAGAATGTAAAAAAAAAAAAGAAAAGGACAAATCCGAAATTGTTTGAAAGTACTCCTATCCTAATTATAAATATATTTTATTTGAATACTTTTAACTGGTACGATAGTAAAGTTTACATAACGAAATTTTAAGTTAGAAAAAGCATTATTGTATAACGTACTTTGTTTCGTAATACTAAGTGTCCTCTGTAATATTTAATTCAAATTAATTTTGACAATATTATACTTTCATTCATAAATATTACGTACATATTATTATTATATTATACTCTATACGAGCTAATACTAACTTAGGGAATACTTATGAATAAAATTCGGAAGATATTAGCCTGATTATGTTTTTTTCCTTTCTCAGTCACCTGTTTTACTCAGTTTCAACTTAAAATTCTCATTTTTTCAATTGGATTTCGTTAATTCTTCTCAAAATATCAGGGAAATATTTGTAAACATCGACTGGACTTGTCATTTTTTTTTATGTATTTTTAAATAATTTTGCAATTAATTTTTAATTAATTTACACATTTATACATTTATACATAGTGTTATATTCTCAAGCATTGGAAAATAAAAATTTTTTTATTTTCGTAAAAATAAGATTTTTGTTAATAGGGTCTCCAAACAACTGGAGAAATTAGAATCTGTAATATGTTATAATATTTAATTTTTCATTTAATAAATCATAGTCCTTATTTCAGTTTTTTGTCTATAATATTAGAAGAATTAGACATTGCAGTTAGTAAATATGAAGAAATGTACTATGTTTGAACAAGATTGTGATGTTAAAATTTATAGTTAAAACCCAAAAGGAGAAAATTATGAAAGTAATATTTTAGTGACAAGCTGTCAGTAAACGGAGTTCAAAAATTTCAAATGATATTAAAATTCTAATTTTAACACCAACTGGTTTGAAATCTGTCCTCGGAAAGTGTATTTTTAAAATTTTTTTTATTAATTTCATAAAAAATTTTTCGGCTTATAGAGAGTATCCACAGGTACTATTTTATAATTTTTATAAATGAACCATTACAAATAGAGATAGGAAACAAAATTTCAATTTCGGATTTTTCCAGAGTTCTATTAATCGCATATTAAGTGTATTAATTTTAAATTTTTTTTGTTATTTTTTCTTTCAGATGCTGCAAACATTTCTTATTTTTGATTGATAACAAATTTTCAGTTATTAATTTAATTTCTTTATTTATTTAAAAAAAAAAAAGTAAAATGATAAGAGGAGATTAATACAACCTATCAGACTCATATAGCGAAAATTTATTAAATAGAAAATTAAAACAAGCCTTTTTGGTTCTTTTTAGAAATTTTCTTATTAATGCAAAATTAAAATAACAAAATCATTGAAATATTCCATAAAAATTGGATTTTGAATTGAAAAAAAAAAATTACCTAAATGTTGAATATAAAATTTTTTGATTAAGCGCTTTTGAATCAAAATTTTAAGTTTGAGTTTTAAAAAAATTATAAAATGGTTGGTCCAAGCTCTCAAATCAGTAAATTGCTCTTATTTTTATTATTATTGCTAATAATATTTTATTTGGCAATGGATGTTCAATTATATATAAGAATACATTTTTATCCAATCGAGAGAAGTCATAATATTAATAAAATTACATCATTACCATGGCCATCAATACAAAACGATCCAAATAATAAAATGCATAATGCCGATTCTTATGATGACTACAATAGTGAAAAGAACATTGGAAATGTTTTTAGTAGTAAAAGTAATAAAATATTATCAAATAATGGAAATATTCGCGATGGCAATCATTATATTTATCAATTAGTAACATCAAGTCAAAATATATTACAAGCTCAACAACGATCAATTCCTATAATTGAGAAAAGTATCCTTGAAAGTAATGAGCATGATACAAGTAACAGCACCAATGATTTATTATCGGGGCAATTGCAAAATGAAACTTTTGATATTATTTCAAAATTTAATAAAAAAACTACATTTCAAAATGTTTTAGCAACGCAACAATATATAAATGAAAATGAAGTACAAAAATATAAATATAGTACCTGGATACCGTGTCATATAAATCCGTTATGTTTTATTACAGTTAAGGCCCTTCTTCTTGATCATACGAATCACTATTTATTTGCTCCAATGGCAACGATATTTGATGATATTATTGGATTCTCGAGAACGCAATATATTACTGCAAATTTTATATCTTATTTTCATGTATTTGTTGCATTAATAGCTGCACGATTTATAGCATCTGATTATTTAGGTTATAGACGTATTGGTGTTCTTCTTTTTGAATTTCGTACATTCTTAGATGATCTAGATGGTCATGTTGCACGTGTGAAAAAAAATATACAAGGAGAGCGTTCTGAAGTTGGTACTGCTGGTTATTATATAGATGGTTTGTGTGATTCTTTGGGTTGCGTTGCTCTTATGATTGGTATATATATATTTTTAAAAAATAATCCTCCACGACGTGGTTATGCTCAAATGCAAGCCGTTTTGCCAGTAACAAATGATGAAACAAATTGTAATACTATTAAATTACAATCAGAAATTGGAGTTACATATCGTGTTAAAACTATTAGACAAAAAATTGTTAAAAAAGTATGCATATTTTCTGGGCAATTACTATTTAGTTCAATGGCATGGAATCGTTATATAGCATCGTATCAGAATATGTTAGAATGCGATGATGTTACACCTATACAATTAAGTAGACAAAATTTTGTATTTAAATCGAATATATTTTTTTTAATAGCGTGGCTATGGCGTTTATTTAATGTACATTCAATATTACATTGTTTATTATTGAGTATATTTTGTGATAAGCTATGGGATTTTTTAAAAATGATACAATACAGTGGAATTTTAATACTATTTTTATCGATGTGTGCTACTGAAATGCATGTGTTAGAAGCACAAAATTTTATTTTTAATTCGATGATAATCGCAAATAACAACACATCACTGTGATTTTCTATATTTTTTGTGTAATAAATAACATATAAAATTGAAGAATTTTTACGGTTAGTAAGAAATTTATATAAATGAATTCTATTATTAAGTTTGAAACTGAATATTTTAATATTAAATACATAATGTATATTTATTTATTCTCTAACATTTTGTGTTTATTTAAATTTGTATAAAATGTTTGTTTTTTTTAAATATATTTGTCAATATTTAACTCAAAACTTTTTTACCTTATTTTAAACTATAAAAATATTATGCATTTATAATATTAATTTTAACAATATGATTTTTAAGCATGTTGCTAAATCCCCTATCATCAAAGTTTAAGCTTAACATTGAAGAAATAATTTTTTTTGAAATTCTGTTTATTGAACCTAATTGAAGTTAGGCATTTTTGATTGATATATGGTATGACCGCGTCATATATTTTCTAATGTTATATTTTGATTAGAATATGAAAATCCAAAAAATTTATTTTTATTAGTTGAGCAGATGTTTTAGCAGAGATTCACTTTCTGACATTCGCTTTTCCAAACAGGAACCCAAAAAGTAAATTTTAAAATATTCCGTTAATTAATTCCTTAGGTATTGCCGAAAATGCAAGTTTCTGACATCTCCAAAATGAACTCAAATAAAACCTTTCGCCAAAATGGGTTTACAATATAAAAAATTCATTCTTGTTTATAAAAGTATTCTATCTAATGCTTCTCTATTTATCTAAAACTTCTTTAATAATCGACATGGGAAATTTAGTGTCACCACTTTATTGTATGCATGGCGGTATGTAAAACAGGATTTTAAGTCTCATTTAAATTTAATTGTTTCAAAATTTCTACTAAATTACAAAACTTGAAAGAATGATGATAAAAATTAAATCAAATTATTTATATATATTGTTTTATATTACCTTGAGTTTGTAGTTACGCTTTCTGTAATCGTTTCAGAGAGACTAGAGATTTTAATGAGATTTAATGTACTAACTCACACAAAATTAGAATCTGAACTCACCCATTCTGTAATACCTTCATAAGCTCCTCCAATTTCAAGTTGTCAATAATGGTCATGTAAAATACATTGTTATTTAAGCATTGTTTTATTCAAGCACATTTTGGGAGACCAAACTGAAACTAGTAGATAAGCGGAGTAAACTATTTAATACTAAAATACATATAAATAATATCATTATTCATGTTTTATAAAAATAATTCGAGCTTATATAAATTAACAACGTTATATCTCTTGCGAATTCATCTTCAATTATTTGGTAGTATTGGGAAAAAATAACCCTGTGTAAAAAATTATTTTCTTTTTTATTGATGGGTTCTTGATTGTTTTGTATCACCATTTTGCATAATTTTCAACACTAATATTGACAAGTTTCCCAATATTGAGTTGATTATGTATCTAACGAAATTTAAATATGATTTTATTAGTAATAAGAATACAACGTTTGTCATAAAGTGTAGTTTTAAGATCATTTTTATTAAGTCAAATTTATTTGAAATAATTATTTAATATTTCACCGAATTAAAACGACTAAAAGGTAAGTTCATATTTTCTTAATTGTAAAGAATTATTTTTTTTTTGTTAAATTCAATCAGTTTTTTTAAATTATTTTTTATCATCATAAGGAGAAGGAGTAATTCAGTACCTATTCCATTAACATCCGGTAAAAATGCAAAAGATGTTCTGCCAATATTTAAAAAATACGCGAGATTTAATTTTAGATTTTATGTTTCTTTAGTTTTTATAACTTTAGTTATATTGTTTATGCTTATGTATCTATATACATATATAATATTTTGATTTTTAATATTAAAATTACATCTATATTTCTTATTTTACTTTCAGTATTTATATGAACATGGCTGGCACTTAAAGGGTCTAATAGGTATTACACAGCCCCGACAGATCTCAGCTATAACCTTAGCTAATCGTGTAGCAGAGGAGAGAGGTGAAGTAATTGGAGAAACAGTTGGAGTTATTGTGCGTTTTATTGAAAGATTTAGTGAAAATACAAAAATTAAGGTACACTTGTAACATATTCTATGTAAATGTACATACATACAGTAAAGAACGAATAAGTGCATTAACATAATTACGAGTGCGTTTAACAAAGCCGAGGCAACATTCACAGCTCAATCGGCTTTTGGATCTGGAATTGAATATGAACTTTGACTATAAAAATATTTATGAAATTTTAAGAATAACTTTGTTTCTATTTGAGATAGTCGCATGAATAAATCTTGACTTATAAATAAGAATAACTTGGAAAGCTCGTATCCAGAGTAAGCTTGTTAAATCCTGAATGAAAATGGTAAAGTTATTAGAAATTTTTAAGAGACTCTATTGCCATTCATATACCCAACCAAGTAACAATATTTGCATGTAATGTTAGAGTGAACGTAAATTTTCTCTCAGTAGTCTCAAATTACGTGCATAGTATTTCTTATTTTCTTCATTATAATCATTATAAACATATGTACATATATAACGTTTTCTAGTATTTTGTTGCCTATGTATATACATACATAGGTTTGTTTTATAGAAAAAAAAAAGCTGGAAATGTACAATGGAAACTACCTATAACAATAAATACATTTTCACAAACTTTTATATTCAACAAAAATTCTTAATTGTTCTTGACTGTATAATATTATGTAACACAAACATTTTGTTAATAACCCATATACATACAAACATAATATATACTTACATTATTTTTTTAACATCTTCAGTTCATGACCGAAGGAATTCTTCTTCGGGAAATGCTCGCAGATCCGTTGCTATCAAGCTATGCAGTTTTAATAATTGATGAAGCACATGAACGAAATAACTTAACCGATATTACGCTAGGATTATTGAAAAAGATTTTAAGAAAAAGAAAAGATTTGAAAATTGTAATATCATCGGCTACTATAGATGCAGAATTTTTCAAAAAGTTTTTTGATTCAACATTGAAAATTTCAAAAGAAATAACAAAAATTTTATCAGTCGAAGGACGAGTTTACCCTGTGAATATTTTCTATCTAAAAAAACCGACTCCTGATTATGTAAAGGAAACTATGGATACCGTATTAAAAATTCACGATAAAGAGCCGCTTGGGGACGTATTAGCATTTTTGACGGGACAAGAAGAAGTATTACGATGCGTGGATTTATTGAAAAGTTATCAAGAAAGTCGTAAGCTAAGCGATTTACATATACTACCTCTATATGGTACTCTACCAAACAATGATCAATTAAAAGTTTTCTGGCATAGTGGTAAAAACGTCCGAAAGGTTATAATCGCTACAAATATTGCAGAAACTTCTGTAACAATTCCGAGAATTGTTTACGGTATACATACTTTACTTTGATTTTCATACACGCAATATATTAAGAGTTTCTTTTTCTTGTTTTTCAAAAACAGTTATTGATTGTGGATTTGTGAAAATTAAATACTATAATGCCGAAAGCCAAACAGATAGTTTAGTAATAGTACCAGTCAGTAAGGCTGCAGCACAACAAAGATCAGGCAGAGCAGGTCGTGTTCGACATGGTAAAGTATATCGTCTTTACACGGAAGAAGGTTTTAATAATTTACCTGATCAAACGACACCGGAAATTCAGCGAACTGATTTGAGCTCAGGATTATTGTTCTTGAAAGCACTTGGTGTTGACAATATTTTAAGATTTGATTTCCCTTCGCCACCTTCATCTAAAAATATATTAGCAGCTTTAGAAACTCTTTACGCATTAGGTAAGTTATACTTCACAATTAAAATGCAGAATTTTTAAATAAATCACTATCTAATTTGATCTCCGATTTTCAAAATTTTCTCGCTTATGATTTTTTTCCTCCTTTGTTCACTGCCTTTGGGGGCTTCTCCATCACTCTGCTGTTTGCTATATTTTTTATTTGTGTCTATGTCTTGTCGCTTTCGGTAATTTCTTTATTTATATGTATTTGTCGTTCTACGAGCCTCTTTATGTAATTTCGGACTCCCTACTTTACGCTTTCCTTGTAGGTCCCATTGTAGGCCTGACCTGATATTGCAGTCCTTGTTCTACTTAGCATTTGTCCCAATCACCGCCATTTTCTTCTTCTTGTCTGTGTCATTACGGACTCTTCGACTGCCAGTTCCATCATTTCCACATTGGTGGCCAAAAAATCTCGTATATTTTTCTGAGGCAATTATTATTTACTCCCACAAAACAGAATTAGTTCAACGTAAGCCCCGAAGAGACTTGACTTAGCTTTCCTACTCAGGCCGGACGACCTCTAGGCAGTCCACTTTTTTCCAAATCCGTCTTTACCTAGCCTGATCCTATTAAAGATGTCTTTCTCTACCTCCCTATGTAGAAATTATATTACCGAAGTAATTGAATTTTGTTAAATCCTGTGTAGTAGTATATAACTAATTTTGAATTGGCTTTTGCTTTGCTATTTATTCTAAGGGATTCAGTTTTATGTGTGTTCATTCGGAGACCACCACCTCTTGCTTTATCGTATAGGAGGCCGTTGGTATCTTTTCACATGTATAGTGCCTATGTTATGCTGATTATTTTATTCGGCATTCTCTTCTTTCTTAGTACCTCCCTTCGTTTATTATTAATATACAGAAATTTATATTTTAAATTTATTTAAATTCTGATACTATATGATTATTGATTCTGGTTATAAAACAAGTATATATTTAACGTTGTTACAGGTATTATAGATAAGCAAGGAAATTTAACAAAAAATATTGGGTATTTATTGGCTGAAATGCCCTTTAGTCCTATGATTGGAAAAATGCTTTATATTGCTAGTCAAATGGGTTGTTCTGATGAAATTCTGTCTATAGTGGCAATGCTTCAAGTAAAATCGGTTTTCTCGACGCCAGTTACAGGACAAGGTCAAATAAAAGCCCGAGTTCAAAAACGTAACTTTGAAGTTTCTGAAGGAGATTTGATAACATCGCTAAATGTGTACACAGCATTTGTTGAATATGGCCAAACCAAAGAGTTTTGTGGACAAAATTATCTTATATATAAAAATTTGAAAAGGGCATATGAATTACGATCACAATTACGAGGATTAATTGAAAAAAAATTAGGATTACCAATAATTTCATGCAATGGAAATGTTGAAACCATTTGCAGATGTATAACAGCTGGGTTCTTCCAAAATGCCGCATATTTACATCATTCTGGCAAATATAAAACTATTAAAGGCAATGTAGAAATTCACATCCATCCCACGTCAACTTTATACACCTTGAAACAACCACAATTTGTAGTATTTTGCGATCTAATGCATACTACGAAATTATTTATGAAAGATTTGACTGTCGTCCAAGAACAATGGTTGACAGAACTAGCTTCACATTATTATCAAAAAGGCGCAAGCAAAGACAATTAAATTAATTGTACATTGTGATTTTGCTTGTTAAACAATTGCATTTAAAAATATAATAATATAGAATTTTATATCTAGAATTTCGAAAGATTTAAATTTTTTTCAAATAAAAGAAAACTACTGTACCAGATTTATGTATATTTTTACTAATTCTTCTGAATATATGTACATATAAGTATGCATTTATAAGTTTTGTACAATAAGTTTTTCTTTTAATTCAAACCTTGATATAAGGTGACAGAACATGAAGGCAAAACATAGCATTACGTATTTATATACAAAATAAGTGTGTAAGATTAGTTTTATTTTTATCTAATAACGGATATGAATCATGTTTTTGATGGTTAACACAAAGCTAACATAAAGAAAAAAATACGCATGAGAAAAAGTTATTTTTCGCCACAAAAATTTTCGCATTATACTGAACAATTTTTAATACCGAAAAGAATTCAAAACGAAACTGAAATAAATTTTGAAATTTCGTCTTATAAGAAATAACGTAATTTATTTCAGTAGTCAAAATGTTCAAGGGAAGTAGTTATTGAGCCAGCATCTTTAGAACTGCGTGTAAATATAGGATGTCAAAAAACCGATACATTTTTTTTGAGAACTTGAGAACATTTTGCTACATTTTTTTTTCGGAAAACGAATTTAAGCTGAAGAGGTTTACATACGTGATTCAATTTTTTTGGTGAATAAATTAATGAATTTTTGTTCGAGCATTTTAAAAAAAATATTCCGCATTTTGTTTTTGTTTTACTTCCTCGTTTCCACAAAACGAATCTAGTCGAAGAAAAACTGTGAAAAAGCTATTATGATGTTTTCAATCAAAATTTAACTTGGTTAATTCAAAAGTTATTCATAAGCTTAATATTTATTAAAAGTTTATTCAAAGCTTATTATTTATTAAAGTTTAACTGAGTTAGTTTTTAATTTTTTTTCTTAAAGGGAATTATATATTATTGTTAAGAATTTAACAATGTATAGTCGAAGTCAAACAAGGTTTTTTCCCATTTTTCTTTTAAAATGTAAATTCCCCAATTAGTGAAATATCAAATAAAAATTTAAAAATATCTTAGTACTAAAACCTTTAAAATAGCCTAAACACTATAAAACCACTAATTAAATAATTTAAGGGAAAATTCAATTGAGATTATAAATAAATGAATAAATGAATAGCAATGTATAGTCAAAATATGAACTCATATAAAAGGTCAATCAAAATATAAAGTACATATGCATACTCGGGCGACTGTATATTACAATAAAATTGCGAAATTCGATTATTAGGGTATATTAATAGAAGTTAAAGATCTTTTTGTGTAAAACTCTGTCATATTATGATAAAGAAAAAGGAGCTTCTGTTTGAGATTAATTTGTATTGAAATTTAAATTTATATAAACCTACACACGTTTGGTCTTCTATGTAGATATGTTTGGTTTTCTTCGCTGTTTAATAATTAAGAAAAAATAATTAAATAAAATTATATACCTATATTATAAAAAAATCAAAAGAAGACTTTAATTTATTAATTGTAATCTCTGATAATTATTAATTTGCTATGTGAAACAAAATAAAACAAGATTCCCAACACTGAACTAAAACTTTTCATAGAGACTTGACATAAGAAAAATATCTGTCAATAGAGATAAAAGAAAATATAAAATAAAATGTGTGTATGTATATGTATTTAGTTATCAAAATGTAAAAATTTCAACACGTTGAACAGTGTAAAATAGCAGATTTTAACTCTGTTGCAGAAATAAATAAAAGTATTAAAAAAATAATTTAGAAAATAATGTCTCATCAGACAGGTATACGGCCTAATAAAGATTTACAGAAAGTTTTGTTTGAATCTAAAAGTGGAAAATATCGTGCAATAAAAGTATCCATTAATAATGAAGAGCTTTGTTGTACAGGAAGATTTGTTACAGGAAAAAATAGTTGGGAAAAAGATTATGATGAAGTATTAAATAAATTTATTGAAAAAGACGTTCCGTGCTATGTTCTGTATAGATTTGATGAAAAGATATCACATGATCATGCTTGGTTGCTTTTTACTTGGATTCCTGACACAGCCAGTGTTAGGAACAAAATGTTGTACGCTTCTACAAAGGCGACAATGAAAATTCATTTTGGAACTGCAAATATTAGTGAAGAAATTCATGCTACTACAATTTCTGAATTAGATTATAAGCACTTTTTAAAAAGCAAAATTGAAAAGAGTCCTTCATATCAAACTGAAGAATTGAATGAATTCCAAAAATTGGAAATTACCAGGGAAGTTTCAAGCAGTAATTCAAATAAAACTTTCGGTGGATTAGACTTTCCTGTAACAGAAGCTGCTACAAAAAGTATTCGAAATTTTTGTGAGAACAGGTGCAATTACATTCAATTCACAATGAATATTGAACTTGAAATTATAGATCTATTTGTGTCAAAAAATATTGATGTTAATATGTTATCGAAAGAAATATTAACTAATAAGCCTGGATACCACCTTTTTAATTTTAGGCATTTCTATGAAGAAGAAATGAAAAGTGTAAATATATTTATTTATTCTATGCCTCTTCATGTGAAGTCAATTAAAGAAAAAATGCTTTATTCAAGTTGCAAAAATGCATTCATTGATAGATTGATGCAACATGGGGTTTACATTCACAAGAAAATGGAAATTGATGATCCCACCGAAGTAAGTGAACAATTTATTCTTGATGAAGTTTATCCAAAAGCAATGGCACAACGTCAACAATTTGCAAAACCAAAAGGACCTCCAAGTCGAGGGGTAAAAAGACTTACGAAAGTAAAGGATTAAAATTTATTTTAGATGCAATATTATCAGTTACTTTAAAATTCCATAAATTTTACTGAATATATCAATTAACCCACAATAAAAATGAATTACATATAAAATTATTTTAGATTGTTAAATGTTTAAGGAAAATAAAAATTGCAGTGTGTATGTACCATGTTAATAAGTTTTTTGACATTTACAATCGTTTTTTATGATGATTGAGAAACTAAATTTTTGAGGCTTGTCCTTTACATGACAAAAAAAATACAGCATTGTAAGTAGAAAGAGAATTAACGTTCGTCCAAGACTAAACATAACAATTGTTCTATGAATCTTACAGAATTTAGATAATGTCTTTTTTTTAAATCAGCAGTTTTCAGTAAAATCCTAGTGGATTAATTTCAATATTTTGCAATTTTTATAGTGGTAAAGAGAATTTTCGATTTTAATATAGCAATATTAAAGAATTTATTAATATAACAATATTAAAGGAACTTCACATTTTGCGTTCTTTTTAAATGAAATATAATTATATAAAATAATTCACTTCTAGCAAATATTATTAAATATTCCAATCCATTGTTTAATTAAATGTGCAAATTTATAACAGGAAAGCACTTATATACAGAAAAGTACTTATATAACTTTTTCATTCCCATTCTCTATTGATCTTCGATAAAATTATAAAACGAGAATATCTGTTATACACCAAAAACAAAAAGTAACCAGAAGTGAAAGAAATCTTAAATACCTACACATTTTTTCTCTTTCTTAAGATCAGGTTTTTTGTATGACGCATCATATCATATTCATTTACATATAATACGGTTAAAATAGAAAGAAATTTTTATATCAAAAAATAATTAGAAAGTTAAAAAGAAATTTTCATACTAATTCATACATATTTTAAATGTTAACACACTTTCAGTTAGCCGATCTTCTTACTTACTCCTTAACCTTCAATATTGGATTTCAGTATTTGCATTTAAAAATTCCTAAATTTTCAGTAAATAAAATAAAAACATTTATATTGCATTATTATTGTTTTTGTCACACAAAACTACAAGAGTAACTCGTTAAATTAATGTTTCGGCTATTGCACATAAAATTTTGAAAAATGGTTAATTTAAATAAGGTAATTATGCAAAGGTCGAAGAATAATTTTGTCTCAAATATCTTCCATATAAAAGATAACCAAAGAAATAATATAATCTTTCAACATATCGTCTTGATAAAATTTACAATAACGTTACTTAAAAAGGCGCATAGTATGGAAAAACAATAGTTATTTTGTATCCAAGAGCACTCAAATAAATTAAATATCTAGAAATAAAAACGTTTTAAAATATTTTTCAGATAACGGGCAATCTACAATCTACAACGGGTAATATACCCCCATACTTACATACATTATGCATGGTTTTTATATTATGGGAAAATATAATATACATATGGTCATTGTTATTTGGCACCAAGAAATTCGATTGGTGAGTCAGAGTGGAATGATAAAAGTCTGATAAAAATGATAAAAAACAAATTGAATTTTTTCAAAGTGTTTAAATCGAATTTTCGCGACGTGCGGTTTTTAATTTACATATAAAATGAATGATTATTATGAATGAATAAAAATTTTGAAATGTGATCGGGAACTGGTTGCAAGATTTCTATTTAAAAACTAAAATTTTGTTATGTAGGAAACAATGCATTTAGTAAATACTTGAGAAATATTTACATATGTAAAGGCTTAATAGAACACAAGAATTTTTTATTTTCGACATTTCTTTTATTCGTACAATGAAAAATTCAAAATAAAACATACTACCTAAGAAAATTATGTTAAGCAATTTCTTTTTTACTGTTAATTGCTTATTTTTTCTTTTATTGGTAAAGTTGTTTTTATTTTATTTAATAATTCTGTGTAAAACGTAAGCTTCAACATAAGAAGATAATTTTGAACAAAGAATTCATAACATATGTGGGAGTAACATTTAAACAACGCATGACACAATTTTTTAAGGAGAATTAACAGGATATTTTTATTTGGCATTTAAGAAATACACATTTTTTTTATTGAAAACAATGTGTACCAGCAAATTTTTTTCGTATATTTCATGGCCGGAGAAGCAAATACGCGTACTAGGTAACGTATGTACGGTACTTTTGTAAAGCATTAAGGTACCGTTATGGGAAAATCATAGTAAACGTTCTAAGAAGAGCTTCACAATTTCTCATAGAAAGTGAAAAGCTAAAGAATCGTCTTCTGTCAAATATACGAAAAGATGAGGTAATGAAGGACTTTCCTTCATTACCTCATCTTCTTATTCCTAATGTCGAATAAGAAAAAAAAAAGTGAAGAGCAGAAGTCCTCATTGCATATAGTTAAGAAAATTCTCTTCAGCTTAAATTGAATTGACTGAATGATTTAAATTGAATATGACAACCTACGGGAGAAAACTTTTTGACACTCATCTCATCCAAGATCGCTAAGTATATGAGATCACTAAGTAATTCAAATCAAAGAAATATCCATTAGAAATACACACATAAGTATAATTAATTTGACCCCCCATAGAATGTGCAATCTAGTAAAGAAAAACGTTAATTTTATTCAGAGTTCGTTACGTGGAGATAAAAATTAATAGTAAAAAGAGTATTAATCTAGAAGTAGGCGTCTCACTAACTAATAAAATATATATTTAAATAAATAGAATTTTCTTTCCGCATACAACGCAGATATGATGTGTATGATAAAGTCCTTAATAAACTTTTTAATTACAGAAAATATTAACATATGTATGGATATGTACGTATAATGTGGGAAATTCATAAGGAATGCGGGACTGAGAGGTGTGAACGTTGACCATAATGATTATTCGATTAACTTTCGGTATTGAAGTCACCGTCAAGTTTATGTATTTGGTCAATTGCAAATTATGTATATAATGTACATACATAGAATTTTATTTTTTAATTATTTAAAACTATTTTAATTTAATTTGCTTAAAAAATTGAAATTTCCGTGAGAAAGTTCCATAAATTAGTTTTTTTTTTATAAACTTCTTAAATTGACAAAAAATGTCAAATTTTAATAAAAGTATTTCAAAAACCAAAAATATCCCTAAATTTAGAGAGCCCCATTCATATTTTAACTGTATAACAAAAATTAAATGTATTTCAGAAATTTAGAACACAATGACAATATTGATGTATGCAGATATCAAGGCAAAACGAAAATGTCTTTTAATAAAAATTTCCTTTTTTTAATTTTCTGTTTCTGACAGAAGATTTTTTTCTTCTTTTCAAAAAATCCTTTAAGTTTAAAGGACTCTAAAGAAAAGCAATTTCATTCAGTCTTTATAGAAAATTATTTAAGTTAAAAAGTCATTTGATTGGAAAACTCGGTTCAAATTTTTTTTTTCTATATAATTTAAGAGACGTGTCAACAACAACAACAACAACAGAAATACTTATATTATTAGCTTTTATTATGGTTATTCATCCATATTTTTGAATAGATTTTGCAATAAATTATTGAAATATTTTTTAATTTTTTTTTTTTCTTTCTTAATTTTGAAAAAAAAATTAATAAAGGATATTTTTTGACGTTGTGTGTACCTTTAATACCAACCAGTCTCAACTCATATAAAATATAACGTAATAAAAATTCTGATTGTATATAGTTTTTTCTTCTTCTAATACATTTGAAATCTTCGGAAGTTGATAGAAAAAAATAAAAAAAAAAAAAAAAAAGAAATGCTGTGAATTTTATAGTTAATGCTTTGCTCACTTTAGAATAATTTTTTATATAGAACTTTTGAGTTTTTATTTAAAATATTGTTTTTACCTTCTTTTTTTCTGTTTCTTTGTTGTATAAAAGCATTGTAATGTTGTAAAAAAAAAAAGAAGTTTTACGTAATTAAAAAAAAAAAATATTAAATTTGTATTTATAACTTAAATTTGAGTGTTGTGCTTTTTATATATAAAAAAAAAAAAAAAATAATCAATTCATCGGTCTACTTGGATTTGTATATGGATGACGGGATCGTATATACATATATGTATATGTATATAAGAAGAAACTATTTGTAACAATAAAAAAAATTATGAAAATATTTATACGGTTATAAGTGCGAGTGAATTTTTCCTTTTTGTTGTTTCATTTTTTTTATTTTTTTGCCATATTGTAATATTGAAGTTTATAGAAAAGTGTTAAAGAATTTTTTTTTTCATTTTGTCACTAAATAAAAGAATTTAAGACTATTAATAATATAGAAAAGAATTTCAATATTTTCACTAATTTAAAACATCATTAATAGTATTTGAATTAAATAGGTAAAATATTTAATAAAAAAAATTCAAATTTAATCAAATTTTCTCTTTATATACAAGATTTTCTGAGTGTAATTTATATATATATATGTACGTATATTCCCATAGTTTTGCTTAAAAATTTGATTTTCCTAATATGTATGATTAATAAAAGTGAATTTTACATGATTATCTTAAAAATAAATTCAATTTTTCATATAGTAAATTTATTATATTTTTATATCTAAGGTAACTTTTTACAATTTTATTAGTTTCTCTATATAAGATTATGCAATCATTTGCTTAACTAGTTTTGTATAGAATAAACTATTACAATTCTTTTCACAATAATTATTATTTCCTATAGAATAAATTTTATTTTTGCATTGTGTTAATTAATAGTTGAAAAAAAAAATTATGACCGAGCATTACAAAATCCTTGTAAGTCCTTTGCATTGTTTTACATTGAAATGCTTTTAAATATTGTTTGTCTTTGATCGCAAATATAACCTACATTTATGTATGTATGTATGTATATAAATTTAAGACGCAAAGTTAAATAATTTGGTGTGACTAATGAATTTTATTAAAATTTTGTAAATTGTATATTGAAATTCATTTAGAGAAAATAAATTCTATATAATAATTTCAATAAATTATTGAAATAATTTTTTTGAATTTCAAATTATTTCATATTGAAAATTTCTCTTAATTCTTGCTACTCGTATATGTGTGCATGTATGTATGTATGTACGAATGAATTAACACCATGTTCTGTTGGATTCTCTTATGAAATTATCACATAAAATGATACTTTCTTATCCTGTTATAGTCGTAGACGTGTCTGTGACGTGATGGCAATAATATCAAAAGCATTATACGTACATTATACAAATATTCTGTTAGATTTTTGATATGCGAAGTGATTAGTAGTTTTTTATCATCTCAAAACTTGTATTCGATTCGATATTTAATTTATCGACATTTTTCATTTAAAAATGCATAATAAAAGGAGAATATCTGCTTTTTTCATTTAACCAATAAAAGTCTAAAATTTTGCTTTTGTAAAATAAATATCTCCAATTTTAAAACTTCATTTTTCACAAAATGTAAATTTTAATTATAGAATTTTTTTTTTGTTTTTGTAAATTTGTAAGTGCCGCCGGTTCGAAAGTATTTCCATCGTTCGAATTCGTGTAAAGTTTTAAAAATACATTTGAAGTTTTTTTAGAAATTCCTCAATATATAATATGTACATACATATATGTAACGTATATTTTATCTTTTAAGTACTAAAACTAGAAAAAAAAAGCCAAATTTCAATATTTAAAAGTTTTTCAATATACCAAAATGAGTTTAATTTTATCGAAAGGATTTCGTTTTTAAAATTTAAGTTGCTTAAAGCTGGTAGAGTTTTAGAAGCTTAAAAATATGAGGATGTTAAAAAATATAATTTAAAAAGGTGTGCCCCATAGATTGAATTTGATATTCAAATAATTTCCCTACCAAGTCCAATATGGCGAGTTTTATGCATTATGATGAGATAGTTTAGATATTGAGCGTCATTTATTAATTTTTGTATCATACTTATTTAGAGTCGGTTGTTACTACTTACGTCAGTTGTTAATGTCGTATTGTTTTTCATGCTACTTTCAACTGTGTTGAGGCATTATTAATCAAAAGTTTTTGCTTTTTGGACATGTCTTAAATTTCATGTGAGGTTCCATCTTTGTGAACCTATTATTAACGCGTTACACTTGTCGCTGATGTTTAAAGTATTTCCTTTGAAGCGCCAACCGATTGAGTTCTTTAATATCTTTCCATAAATTATTCACCTGTAACGTCTATATCATTCTTTGGTAAATTCAGTAATTTATTCGTATTACACTAATTCCGCAGTTTTTCGGCCGCTTTCCTTCATATCCGTTAATTGCCAACATTTGTTCAAGTTATTTTATATTCTACTATTTCATCTTCAATCATGTATATTAAGCTTACAAGCAATCTGGATATCTCCAATATGGACTCCTCTGTATTGTGATTCCATTATGTTTATTTAAATGATTAGGTTTCCATTTCTTCTTAGTATTTTACTTCAAATTTTTTTAAATTATCGAATTTATAATTTCTAAAAAAATATTTTTCTGAAATTTGCGTTTTATAAAGAAAAAGTAATAAAATCGTTTTTTTAGGTATCTTAAAATGGCACAGAATGAGAAAATAGCAATTTTTATATTCACAATCTTAGTAGTTTACACTTCAGCTGATAATGATGCACATATTCCTGCTAATCAGTTACGAAGCTCGTCTGAAGGTACTCCGACAACTACTTCAGCTGTTACAACTCAAACTTCTATTACACTTGCACAAACTGAAAATCTCCTTGGAACTTTATCTCAAATGACAACAATGCTTTCTCAAGGAACACTTTCTTCTTTGCCACCGCATTCATATTCAGCCTCACCTACATCCTCTGTGCCTTCTTCATTACACACACTTATTGGCACATCGTCAACGCCAAGTGTTATAACTTCAAGTACACAAGAAAGCAATGTTGACATTATACAAGAAACAATCAATGAGAATTCAATGATTGGTACATCAAGTCCTGATAAACGAGAAGCCGAAGGTATTCAGCGTGCTCTTGATTGGTTGCGAGAAAAACGAGCTGCAGATTACGGCTGGGGAAATGATACTCATATGGTGATATTAGCAAAAGAATTATCTGGTGGAAGAGACCCTGTTGAAAGCGATGATCATTTACAGCAAATTCAAGAATTAGAAGATTTGTTATCTGTCAAAGAAATGGAAGTTGAAATTTTGTCAATGTTGGATCGTCATCACAATGCTTTACCAAAGCCTGTAAGTCCAGATAAACTGGCTAGATACACTTTGGCTTTAGCATCACTTTGCAAAGATCCAAAACGTTTTCATGGTCATGATTTGGTTGCTTTATTGCAACACCATGAACCGGTGTCAGATAATGAATTTGCATTAACAACTTTAGCAGCATGCAGCTCAGCAGCACATGTAAGGAAACGACAAATAAGACGACTACTTGATATTGCAAGTGGCGTAACAGACCAAACAGTAGATACTATAGCAATGGTTATTCTTGCTTTACGATGCATAGTAACTGACCATAGACATAGACATTTGCAACATTTTGTGCGACGACCAGCTAGAGGTTTAGCTAGTTTACAAGATTTAAAAGGGAGCTTTGGCTCACTTAGAAGTACTGCTTTGGCAATGCAAGCTTTACAAGACCTTGAGCCAGACCCTTGGAACAGGTCAGCAGCATCAAGGTGGATCCTGGATCGTCAAAGAACTGATGGAGGCTGGACCGAGGAGCCTTTAAAAGATGGTCAAGATCCCACTATTGGTATAGGATTAACAGCTGATATAATATTAGCCTTAGGTTGGAAAGGACTTGGAGCTGTGAGAGCTTTACAATGTGATCATGTAATTAGAGAGAGTAGTGACACCCCTTCAGGTAATTGTTCAGTGCTTATTGTTAATTAATCTTGTAATTTCAACTAAAAAATTTAAAGAGCCTCTAAACATTTTGCACTTCTTATTCTTTTGACGTACATTTCATTTGGAAATTGCCAACAATTTTAATTAAAGATTTTTACGCAAAGCAGTATTCTTAAAAAGATATACAACTATTCCAGTGCTAAGCCGTGTGTTTTTTTTATTTATGCTTTTAGTCGCGATTGTCTATTCAGTTTATAAGGCACGCGCACTTGGAAACAATAAAATTCATTACCATAAATTTAGCTCAAATGAAAATATATTTGCAATAATAGAGAGGTTTGTTGTCATACAAATATGACTAAACCTTTTGCAATTCATCAAACATTAGTGTTCATCTATTAGAAATTTAAATAGAAATGTAATATGTGAATCTACTACACAAAATTTAAGATACTTAATTAAAAAATTTCAAACTTCAACTCAATAACAACATTTTTATTAAAAAATTAAAATTTTTTTATAGAAAATGGTGAACCAAAACTAGCAGTTCCTTATGGTTTAACTTCATCCGCTGAGGAATCGGAGTCAAGAAATGTTACTTACACTTATACTTTATGGGTAGGATCAAATGTTACTGCATCCTATTCGCTTACTTTAACTTCTCCAAAAAATACAACATTTTTCCGTGCGATGACACAAGCAGCTGAATGTGATCCAAGGTAAAATAATTGTTAAATTAAAATTTCTTATTATTTAAAATCATTTAATATGTATTTTCACAGATTTGCTTTTGAGGCAAGAGAATGGCCGAATGGTCATTATGTTCATACGTTGGCTGGAAAGAAGGAAGAGCCAAGAGGGTACATTTTATTTCACATAACAAAATAATTTTAACTATTTTTTTTATTTTGTCAATAATTTAAGGTATAATTATTGGTTGCTTTATCGGTTACCTGAACAACCAGATCCACAGAGTCCCCCAGGAAATCAATTAATAGCACCAGTTGGTAAGCCTAACATTAAAAAATATATGACTGTTCTTGATATTACAATCAATATTTTTGAAAATATTTTTTTAGGAGTTGATGAACTAATGGTTGAAGACGGAGAACATTATTTATATTGGTACAAAAAGTTATAAAATAACATTTGCTATGTTGTTGAAAAATAAGTCGTCATAATATTGCAAAAATGAAAAAACAAATCATCATTTTGCATCCCGATAAAGGCACATAATATTTCACTACTCCAGCTATTATAATCAAAACAAAATGTTCATTATACGTTCCGTTTTCTAAAAAAAAAAATAATTGAATATTAAGCTTAACATAAATGCCGTGAAATAAGATAATACAAAATATACTTACTTCTTTATAGATATATAATATGCAATAATATACGTTATTTAGAAGATACATATTACTAAATGTGTATTAGTTTACAAGCTTTAAAAAAAACAGACGACTTTAATATTTCTGTAGAGACAAGTTGGGATAACATTTACAATAATAGTTAAATAAGCTACACTTTGAACAACTTTAAAAAAAAAATTTAAGTGTCAGCGGGAGGGAGCATATTACTATAATATAAGTATTATTTATAGGAGCTGTTTGGTGGAATTCAGATAAGAAAATGGTCTGTATCATCCACTCAAACACAATTTATTTGAAAATGAATGATTTGAAAAGCTTAATTTAAATGATTTTTAATGTATTTATTGTATGTGCAATTTATTATAAAAAATGAATACATACAAATATTTTCTTTTGCTTACTCAAAATTTAATTTATGACTATAATAATTAAGTGTTTAATCTTTTATAATTTACAGAAATCTTAATTTTCTTTTTATGTACATATGTATATAATTAGCACTATTAATGAAAAACTTTTCGGAAATTATTTTACTTTATAAAAATGGAAGTAAAAAAGGTAAATTAAGTAAACAGCTTAAGGTCACGGTGTAATTTTTGGTGACAAGAAAATTATGTTAATATTTGTACGAAAGTTTTAGACGAGTTACGAATATGATAAGTGAGAAAAACTATGAAGACGGCAATTCTATATCTGAATTCACAGAATCCCATGTGCAATATTATGTATGTGTATTTAATGTGCAATATTTTAAAATTATATATAAGATGTAAAATATCAATATTTTAAGCTTTTAATAAGCGCTTTTAAAAAAATTTTTATTTTACGATCCTATACTTCTCTTGAAGTAGAAAAGATGAAAAATAGGACGAAATCTAGATTAAGGCAAAATTTCCATAAAATACTTGTATTTTAGAAATTGTTGAGCTCATTTTTCATTTTCAAAAGTCAAATCATATCAAATAATTATACTTTTAATTGAATGGCCCCATAAATGTATAAGAACCTCCAAATTAGCAGGTTGCACAGTGAATATTAATAATTGCTGGCCGATTTACATTTCATGCGATTTTAATTTTTTATTTTCTAATAAAATGTGAAATCAGATATGCCTAACAACACATTTTTTAATACAACATTCTAAATTCTAAATATTGAATATAACGTGGTAATAAAATTTTAATAATTGACAAAATCAAATTGATTTTAGATCACCATTCTGACAAGCGTCCTGCCCTGTATTACGATATATGTATATTCATTTTTAAAAAAGGTGGTAAGTTATTTAAATCTATTAACTTATAAAAAAAAAAATTATCAATCAAAAAAATCATGCCACAATCAAACCACATGAAAGTATAAATTCAAAGGCAAATGTATACACAAGCGTACACATCATAATTTAGTAATTTATCAATTCGTTTAGCATTGAATTAAGTAAGTATACAGAAAGTAAAATTAGAAGAGAGGATAATTAACACTCATATATCTAATATAATAATAGATTCCCAGTATTTATTGCTCCTACAAAACAAATATGGTAATTGTTTAAAGAATTTAATAGAAAAATTCTTTAAACATTCAATATTCAATACAATGTCCGTATATATTTATAAATGAATAAATATATAAAATGAACTTGGTAAGTATTCTTGACCAAATGTTTCATTTTAGGTTAAATACGTATAACGCTTTCAACAACTCCCAAATGATTAGTGGTTGTTCGCTAATGTCAAAGAAGTCTAATGTTGTTGAAAATATTACAAACCAAGATTATAATACTTGTACGAGTATAGTGTGATATTTTCTTAAATGAAAGTGCCTTTTGTGTGGTTGGGTATATAACAGTGTTGAGCTGTTATACATTTGGAATATATAACAAATTCCTACACAGAAATTTAAAAAATTACTGTTTAAATTGGAATATATTTCAGAATATAAGGTTCATGGTTCGGTTCTGCATCCTAGCAAAATAAAAAAAATTTTAAAAATATTTATGGATTGTAAGGGTATATTTCAGATATTTTTCAAAAAAGTAAAAATTGTTTGATCTAAACGCAGTTTTGCTTTAAATTTTAATATTTTAATTTTTAGAAACCAACGATTATCAGCAAATTAATTTAAAACTTATTTTAAATGAATAACATCATACACACGTACATATTATTATGTAGCTAATTATACATATATCATTATATACAGCTACAAATTGGAAGAAACACTCGAATATAGACTTTAAATGCTTAGCTCGAAAACTGTTATTGGAAAATTCGAAATTGTTATGAGAAAACAGGATTTCATTTGAAAATGAAGAAATTAAAAAATAACTTTTTATTGTTATTTTTTTATACATTTCAAATAAAATTAAAAAGGAAATTTGCTTATAATTTTTATGCTGTTCATTCGTCCGTTTTGAAAATTTCTACACTCTTTAAATAGTACACATTTTTGACAATTTACAGAAATCACAAATATTTGTTAATTTCTTCAACCACGAAAATGACAAAATGGAGATTGAAATTTACCGTTATCTTGCTAGCTTTTTTTCAAATTTATAATATCGTTGTTCTTTCAAACTATAATTTGTAGTAAAATTTAGAGAAATGGCTAAGAAATGGATAAGAAATTGACTTACCTCTCAAAATTAGAATGTTCTTAGTTTCTATTTTTCCGAAGTTTTAAGCTAAAAAAAACTAAAATGCTGCCGAATTCGACGATAATGCTAAATAATGCAATTATGTTGGTCCTACTTATACAAATGTATAATAACTTATTGGAAGCAGTAGAAGATTGTTGCTATTTAAAAAAAAAAAATTAAAAATTTTCACCTACGCGAGAGAAATGTGCTATTTCACAAGCCCTTGATTTTGACTCGAATTCAGATTTTATCATTGGTTTTTGTTTTCTTTATTTAGTTTTTTAAATACTAATTTGTTCTCATAATTTTCATACTTTAATGTCATATAAAAATTTTAAAATAATTCCAAGTGTTTATATAGTTATACGAAATTACATAGTACATACTTAAAAGGCAAAGTGAAGTGACAAAAGGAAGGGCGGAATTTCTTTTAATAACGGAGTGAATAACACGTTTACTATAAATAAATTAATAATTATGTCTAGTAACATTACGTTGTTTATTTGCAAGGATATTTATTTTCATACATATTTACTTATAATAATAATTGCGGTCCTTAAACATTATACAAAAATTTTAATGTTGTTTTTAAAGTTGTTAATTTTTAATATACAAGTACTTATATATAAATTTCAAAATACATGCAATTTAAGTTGCATTTTCTTATAAGTATTATAATAATCAGTTAAAAAAAACTTTTAATCGGAATGGTTGGCCATTTTCCGTTTCCAGTTTTTTAACTACAAACAATTAAATTGAGATATCAAAAAATATATTCGGTTCATGTTCAATGTATAATAAGTAGAGTACTCAATAAATATGGAAATATCTAAACACACAATTGGAATTTTTTATACAGCAAGAATTTTTGGTCTAGCTCCATATACACTAAAAAAGAAAGGAACGGTGCAGCTGGAAGTGATGCGTAGTAAAATTTTCACTGTATACAGTTTAATTTTAATTTCGACAATGGGTAGGTGTATAAATTTTATTAAATCCATGTATACATGGATAAATGTATAGTAAAAGTAATTTTATATTTTTGGCAAAGAAACTGAATTGTATGCAACATATTAACTTACGCTTAGTGTATTTGTTCATTGTAAACATGATACACCTGAAAAATTTTGATTTGAACATCAATTTTACTTCTTTAATAAAAAAATTGAAATAATTCATATTTTGTCATAAAGCTACATTAGAATTTTAATGATCTCGTTTGAGAAATGTTGCTTACTCAAAATTTTATTGATCGATCTAGTAGATCGTTAATTATTTATTAAGAAAATTATGTAGCCGATTTAAGGCTAGCTTATTGGCGCTTCAAATTGCATCAAATATACACATTTATTTTAAATAATTAATATTATTTAATAGAATATTATATAGAAAAATATTTTATTAAATAAACTAGAATTAAAAATAAGGAAGGTTGTTAAAATTTTTTTTTAAATAACAACGAGAAGTTGCAATATCTTGCAACTAGTTCTTGAACGTTGCTATATGATTTAGTTAAAATCAATTTTTACTTATAAACACCTTTAATTTTTTCTTGTGTAAATTTCAGTGTGTCTTACATATAGAGGATTATTATTTGATGCTAGTTCAAATATGCCTGTTCGGTAAGTCAAGAAATTTTCATATAACAATTTAAACTAAAGAAGTATGTAGTCAACTTATAATCAAAATCAATACACAAATCAATTAAAACATTACACGAATTCGGAGTACATGTTCTATATTACATTTAAATAAATCTTATAAACTTTCCTTTTTTTCATAAATTCCTCATTCTCATAATTGAAACAAAATATTTCGGCAAAGATTTTGTTTCTAACTTACGTATACTTAAAAGAAGTCATTTTCTTACATTTTCTTAAAATGCTTATGATATCAGTTGTAGAATTATTCACCATTCCAAATTTTTTCTTGAAGATTGATTCTCATATATGATTTGCCAAATCATTATAGCATTCGCATAATATTCGCATGTTTATTTTAGAAAATTTCATTGTATAAGTACGAGTAATTCTTCAAACTGATTTCCTTCTTCATCTTTAATATTTTATTAAATTATATAATCTCGAAAATGGTTTGCCTTTATTGATATATCATTTCCGTTTCAAAATTTTGCTTTTTTTTTTAAATATACTTACGCTACAGAAGTGTATCTACATACATTTATGCACAATTAGATCAATTACTTTCTCCTTTACAATTTAGAAACTTATGTACACATGCACTATTGAAAATCTCTAAATTTATTAACTGATTAAAACAACTATGGCTTTTCTTTCTACTTTCTTTCTCTTTTCCTTATAATTATATTGTATGTACGTATAACATATCTACATAAAAACTAATTGAAAAAAAAATTTTAAAAAAATACGCGAAACATTTATGTTAATTGGCATAAAAAGAGCCTCTTTTAGAATGAAATCGAATACATCAAAAGTGGTGACAGCTTTAGATGTGTCCGTCGTAGTTCTATCAACTCTCTCTGGTGTTGCTTGTGGTATAAATGGTGTTACATCAACACAAGATTTAAACAAAATTATTCATGAGGTAAGATAATTTTTTCTTTAATATTTTACAATAATATAAAATAAATTTAAAATAAGTTTTGCAAAAATTGCAGGTCGAATTAAAATATAAAGTGTAATTGTAATGAGGTTTTTGACTATAATAGCTAAATTTCTAATATATTCCAACTCCAGAACACCAAGAGATAACGTTCTATACTTTACATAATACTCTTATGTACATACATATACGCACACGAAATCTTTTATAAGAAAATAAGAACCTGTACAGTACAGCTGTACTTCCCAAACTTTCGGTTCGAAAGCTACTTTTAAGCGAGTTTTTACTGTAAAATATGTATAGGCACTCTTTTTTTATGATTTATATACATACGAGTATATATGTACATATGTATATATCTTGTTATCCATGAAATAATATAATTTTTCAGGATTGTCAATATTATTTAAAAAAAAAATAATTCATTTTTTCGTCTACTTTTTAATTCTTATAATTCAAAAACCAAAATTAAAACTAAATAAGTATGTAAGTATGTAAATGTGTTGCTGATAAATGCAAAAGAATCTGCTGATGTAAGCGCAGTTCCTTCATGTTGTTTTGTAATTAAACTCATTCAATAAATGGGCCTAATTCATTATGTACATAATGACGCTTAAACTTTTTTGTTGTCTTATTTGGTATTACATAACAATTTATTTTTTTTTTACATTGATTATACTAAAGGCTGATGAAATTTTAACTGGACACGATGCACATTTCAAAGAGCAAAAAAGGGCGTATATTATGTTAGGAGTATCAATGTTTACTATTTCATTAATGCTAGGTAAGAATATTTTTTTGGGTTAAAAGAAGTTGGACTAACTTTACACCAAAATTTAAGGATTAGACGTCTGGACTTGGAATTCGAAAGCTCGACAAATGAATTTATCTGCTGATGCAGGTAAGAAAATTTGGTTTTACGCATATACTTTCTTAGGTAAATAAATTAGGCCTAATAAAATATTTCCCAAATTTCTTTTTCATAAATTTTGCAATTACATACTATGCTTATTACGAAACCAAATCATTCGAATTATATTTTTAATTTGTTATTTTTTTATTATTTTTTGTATTTTTTTTTATAATTTTTTTTATATTTTTATTTTTATTTTGGATCTTAATGCATCGAATTTTTTTTTGCATATATTTAAGGCGTGATCATCTCGTTATTTTACTCGCCAAACGAGAAAAAGGAGAATGACTATCATAATATTTGTATAATTTAATTTTCGAGTGAGAGGAATTTTTTCGTATCACGTGTCTCCTTTTTTTCGAAAATGAGACGTTCAATCGATAATTTAAGAAAAATATGCAAAAATCCATTTGAAAAAACAAATAATCTTATTGAAAAAGTGAAAAATTCATTAAAGAAAGAAGAGAATTGTGCTTTAAGTGTGTGTGAATGAAAAGTGAGGAGTAAAAACGAGAAACGCGATTATATTGTAAATGTTTAAAGAGAAATCGATAAGGATTACAAACCTTATGTTTGTATGATCCCGACTCGATTTTACTTACTTAATTCCTGATTTCTCACATTTTACTGTTTACTCTCTCATCTTTGAGATCTAAGCTTTCTTTTGCAAATTTAGTGTGTTTCAAACATATTTTCTAAAATTCATTTACATTTTCCGGGACAACAACCGATTTGGGTCGAAAACGGCGTTCGAAATTATTGATGCTAATATGACCATACTTATTCAATAAAATTTATTTTTCCACCTTTAATATTACATTTCCAGTTCCTTTGAATTCATTATTTGTAAATTAAAAATTAAATAAAATTTATTAATTAATTTTAAATCTAATTATTTTTAGATGCGAATATAATTTGGTATGTGCCATTTTATTCCTTATATTTCATATTAGTTGCGCTTCATTTACATTTTGCGAATTCTGGATTTGTTCTTGCAAATAGATATAAACGTTTGAATTCATTATTAAAAACAGAGTTTTTAAATACAGGTAAGAATTTTTTTCAATATTTTTTAAATAAATATACGTCATATATTTTAATAATATATTATTTTTAGTTAAAATCAATTTACATAATGATTTGAAACAAGAAAAATTAGATGATAAATCAGAAAAACTAGAGAAATTAAAAGAATGCTTTAAGGAACGAAAATTAAATATATACGATGACATATATAACAATAAGCCACTATCTAAAGGTATACCAAAGAAACATTCCCTTACGATTCCATCAAGTACTACATATAAAATTCGAACAGTGACAAAAGCTGTATTTACAAGTTCGGCAAAACAATTATCAGATAAAGGTTAGCAATAAATTAGTTACAAAACCTATTGACATATTAAATTGAAAATGTACTTGAAAATGTAATGTGTATAAGACGAGTATATGATAATATCAAAATGTAATCGTAATATGTAACAGAGTATAATGTAATCATAAGAAAGTAACACAAAACAGTGAAGCAATAATTCCACTAAAGTATAATTGAAGTATGTAGGTTTATATGAATTAGCGAAATTTAGCGAAAAGTCTGCCGATGTTTTATTTTTAAACTACTCATTATAATATTATGTATGAATATTTAAATTATATTAAAATATTCTTGAACTATGTACATTTTTGGCAGGTTTGCTTTTTAAAAATTAATAGACAACCCTACATATAGAGTCTACAAGAATAAGCGAACAATTTAAAAAACAAAAGAAATGTTTTAATTTTTTATTAAATTTTCGTTTTTTATATTAATAAATTAATTTTATACATTTTTCATTTTAGAAAAAACTTTGATACAGATTGATCGCATAGCTTATATTCATGAATCGTTGTCTAAAGGAGTACACAGTATTTCATCGTAAGTAATTAGAAGTAAAATACTTTGTAAGGTCTTATTCCGAAGATCGAAAAAATTCTTGATTAACTTTACTTATTTAAGCTAGTAGAAATATAATTTTAAATTTAAAACTACAAGAAAGGGTCTGAAAATTTCTAAATGAAATTGTTTTTGAGTTGAAAATAATGGGAATATTCAAAATATACATATGTAATTCTTTTCACAAAATCTTGAAAATGAAAAGATTTTAGAGTAATTCACACTTCTTTTTAAAATAAATTGGTGACTCTATTCTTATAACATCTTATCGGATTGTGATTATTAAAAATAGGAAAAACTTTTTGTATAACATTTACTTTTAATATTTTGTTTGTTTTCTTTTTTTCAGAGCTTTTGGTGTTACAGTAGTATTTATGCTAGTTTCCTGTTTATTACATCTAGTAGCTACTGCCTACTTTCTTTTTCTTGAATTGATCGAAAGACATCCAAAATTTTCATATTTGCAGTTTTTATGGATAGCTTTTCATTGCATTCGTCTATTATTAATAGTAGAACCCTGCCATGTTACAACAGCGGAGGTAAGTAACACATTAAAAATTTTTTTTTTGTAATTGGATAATCTGGTTGGGCAGTCTTATTTTTATTTTTATGGTGTTCAGAAGTATGTAGATTTTAATTTAATTTTAATTTGTTTTTTTTTTTTTATTTTTATTTTGAGTTTATCATTTGTTTTTATATTTTTTTTATATGTTATTCTTTATTGTATGTATTTTTCTTCCCGTCTTAGGTGTTTCTTCCTTTTATTTTCAATAATTTTTATCATTTTAATTATTGTATGCTCCTTCTTTGTTAACCCTTTTCTGTTTAAAAATTTTGTTCCTCACTGGTTGTGATTTGCTTTTTCTTTTTGTTTTACGTTATGTTTTTTAACTTGTTTTGTTTTTTGTCATGTCATTTAAGTGTGTGGGTGTAAGTTGTCGGCATATTAGGACGGATACCAATTTAATTTGTTCGGATATTTGTGGTAGGCCTTCCCATTCAAAGTATTCAGAAAACGGCAGGTGTTTGTTGGTTCTGTCAGTGTGGTTTTGAGCAGGGTAAGTCTGTGGTTACTAAGATGGTGGGGTTTGCCTCGGATAGTATTAATATTATGGAGGGAGGTGGCCAGATCGATGTTAATTTTACAGATGTTATTCTGATTGTTTGGGTATTTCGCCGGGTAGTCATTTGGGTCCCATGTTTTTATATTCTTGACTAACGATGCTTTAGGCTCTGTTTTGGGTTCCACGTTTTACAGTTTTGCCGATAACTCCAAGATTGTGTCGGAGGTTGATTGTTTGGGGTCACAGAAAGATTTGGACAATTTTTTGTAAGTCTTGGATCTTGAGTTTTTCGCAGAGGAGGGAGTCTTCTCTTATTTGGCTTTTAGTGGTTTTTGTGATCTTGGGTGCCTGGATCAAAAGTTTGATTTTAGGGCTAATTTGAATATGATCCTTATTTTTGTGTCTGGAGGTCGGTATATTATTAGTCTTCAAGTTTTTATTTGTGTTCGTTATTTTATTTTACTTGTCTTTTTTTCTCCTCCTTATTTAACCTAAATTATCCTTTCTTTTTTCCTCCCTTTCCTTTAAATGATGACGCTGCTGCTTGCTAACTGATAGTCGCTTAGTAGCGACTAAATGATGTTTTTACTTACGTCCTTTGGCGATGTGCTCCATAAAAAATTTCAGAAAGTTTGAAATATTTTGAATTAATAGAAAAATAAGAGTATTTTGATTATTCGAAATGAACACACAAAATTATCTAACATTTTTATTTTTTTTTATTTTCAGGCAAAAAAGACCATCCAGATTGTGTGCGAAATTGACAGAAACTGCCATAATCCTTTAATAGCAAGCAGTGTAAGTTAATTATAAATATGGTATTACGTTTTAAATTTTATATGTTTAACATTGAATACGTCCAATAACCCAACTCAACTCAGCATATTAAAATCTGTATTTGTTGCAAGTTTGGCTATTAAATTATTTCTCATTTGACTTAAATTTCATTGATAATAAAGTCAGAAACGGGGTCGGGTAAGGTTTCAAAGTCAATGTATGTTATATCTTCTATGAAATGAAAAATGCCTATAATATTAAAATTCTACGTCCGAAATACAATAAAAAAATCAATTGATAAAATCAAAATTTTTTTTATTCTTTGCAGTTGAAGAAATTTTGGCAACAATTATTAGCGGATAAACCATACTTTTCAGCTTGCGGAATGTGCAATATTGACCGACAATTATTAACATCGGTTAGGTTTTAATTTAAGTTTATTAACACCATGACTTCAAAATTGCAGTAATGCGGTATTAATACATAATTTAGTTTATGAGCTATAATTGATTAATCCGAAAAGCTGAATTATATAATAACTCATAAGTTTAATTATCACTAATGAATTGTGTATTATTATCATGTTGGAATTTTGAAGATAAGGATAATGATTATTTATAATAAATCATTTTATATTTACAGTTTAGCAGTGCAATATGCACATACTTAGTCATTCTGATACAATTTCAAGGCGCAAATGGATAAAACGCTAACATAAAACTTGTACTAAATTTTAAAAATTTAAAATTACTATAGTTTTCTAATTTTAGGTCTGACTATCTTTATGCGTAAGCCATGATTTACGAATCTACTTCTAATAAATTTTTTTATGTCTTTCAGAAAAAATATGAAAAAAGTTGAAAAGGTTGCCAGAGATTAGATCTTCAAAACAAAATCAAAAGATAATTTAAAAGAAATTTAACTTAAAAAGAATATTAGAAAATATAACCCCTGTTGTCTAGGGATGCTTGCATCACATCTAGGTACCTTTTATCAACGATGTTACAAACATATTACAAGGGAACTGGTCAACACTGGTTCCAAGGGAACTGGTCAATACTAATTTAAAATATATTGTTATCAAATATTAATTTTATTAAAGAATTTTATCCAAATTTACATTAGAAATTAATGTATTAAAAAATAAATTTTTACATATATTTTAGCAGACCCACACATTGAAAAATATTAATAAAATCTTTAAATTTTGATAAAATTTAAATTAAAACTAAAATTATTACAAAAGATCTATTTTGAAGCTGTCAAAACAATGTTTCATAAAAACTATGAAAAATTTCGTGAGCTCATGAATCAACATTGTGACTATTTATCATGCTTTATATTTATTTAATGTTAAAAAATATTCATAAAATCTAAAAATCTTAAATTCGTTATATTTTACACATTAGAATCAAACAGCTATATTAAACAAATTTTCAATATTTTTAAATGTGCAGTTCAAAGCTGGAAAAACCTTCAAAACTTAAAATTATTGTTAATAATTTTAAATTTATGATTCCTTCCAATAAAATTCATCGAAGAACTTAAATATATAAACAATATACATCAACACAAAATTTACTTTCCCTAAACAACTCAAATATCTTTAATTTCATTATTCAGTTTTTATCAATAGTAAAATTTTTATTTTCATTAAAATTTATATTTACCTAAATAAACACTAAATAATAATATTAATTTGTAGAATCTTCATGTTTTCAACTAAATTAGATAAAAATTATTAAATGTTCTTACTATTACAGAATCATTTTTACATTGCATTATAATATTACTTAAAAAAAAAAACATTAATATGCTGTTTTTTATATTCTTAATTGTAAAACCTATTATCAATATAATCCAATATTTACATATATAGATGTCGCATCCTTCATCTAACGTATTGTAACAGCAAAAAATTTTTTGCTTTTTGTTTTATTTGCACATACTCTGCACTTGCATTTTACAATTTTGGTTCATTTTTCATATGAGCATGTTTAAATAAATTTACAATTAAAAAGTTGTTCTTTAAAAATTTAAGAAAATATTTTTCTTAATTTCAACAACTTATAAGTCAGATATGATACAGCTAAGAGATTTTGCAAGTTCTGATTACGTTTCTATCCCCGTTACGTTTCGTTTTATAGTAAGAGTTACAGTACATTATATGTGAGATGCGACACATATGTTAGTACAAGACTTTATAAACTTAATTAATCACATGTAACAAATTAATTAAAAATAATGTTTTATAGAAAACATTTTTAAACTTTTTCTTCAAAATCATTTTTAAAAGTTATTTTATTACAATTCTCTTATTTGGAAAATACGAACATATCTAAATAATATACTCTTTATAAGATAATTAAAATTAAATTAAATCACTTATATTAATAACCACAGTATTTTGTGATTCAAAATTAGAAATTTATGAAACACTAAGAGGATAAAGCAGTTGATTGAATTTTGTCAGGCAGTTTTTTTTTTCAATGAAACTATTTAACGAAGGCCTGTGGAGGTATCTTACTTTCCTTCTGCAGTTTATCGAAAACAAACGCCGCATAATTGAAATCCCAATTAGTGTCTTCTAAGCACCTACAATAGAAATAAAGAAAAAAAAAATTAACGAAAATTATTTTGAATTATGATGATAATTTTTATACTTTTTGCTCCACTCCAAGTTCATTCCACTACGTTCAGACATTTCTCGTACCATATCAATTTTAGCCGCATCATTAACTACTGGTGCAATTGACGAAATCTGTGTAGGTACTGGTTGATGCATACCTTGCTCAAGTCTACTTTGCAGAGAATTATCAGTTCTGGAATTTGTTGAAGTTGTTTCTGAAACATTAACTATTTCAGGTTCTTTAAATGCTTTTTGATGTTGTAAGTGTGTTGCAACCGTTATCAACATCATTTCATTTCGAATACAATATCCACCACTCATTCCTGGTATTACCACAAAAAGTCTTTGAAAATAACGTAAATCTCCAGCTTGAGAAGTAGATGATGATGTTGCTAGAATTTCTTTAAATAGTCCAGCAACAGTAAATACGATCAAAGTGGGCTAAAATAAAATAATGTTTTTCTTTTATCAATCACACAAAAATATAAAATTTAAACTAACAGTAAAAATTGATAAGTCAACTGAAAATGACATCAAATCGTGTTGAGTTTTTGGTAGTTCAGTTAAAAAAGACACCACCTGAAGTTTCCCCGTTTTAATCAAACGGAATTTTCCATCCTTATCATTTGTCCTTAATAAATTATGATTGTAGTTACGATAGGCTGAAAGCCTTTAAAAAAAATATTGTATTAAAATTATTTTAATTATTTACTAAAGAAAATTATTTAATACCTCCCACTTTGACTGGCTAAAGGTACTGATAGAGATAACATTGCCTGTTCATGATAAGCATCCAAAAGAGGTTGCCGGTTTTCTGAGTCGTAAATTAGAAAATATTGTTTCAAAAATTCTCTAACAATATCAACTCCAGCAGCGTTGCAAAAATATGATGCTTCTGGCTTTGGCAAGTTTTTATTTTCCTCAACATCAAATCCTATATGAGGCTCCAACATCTTTCCATCCTGTTATGTTTTATAAATTTAATAATTTTATTTATTCATAAAAAATATTAAAAGTCTTAAGCAATTATTATTGTGCAATTAAAAACATTGCAAAATGGGAAAGGTCTTTTTTGAATTAACTTTATAATGTTATAACATTAAGACAAATATATTTCAGATCTGAATCAGATAATTCAGATCAGAAAATGTGAAATACTATGTCAGTGTGCCAACCAAATATAATTTTTAAAGATTAAGATAGCCAGCAATGGATTAAGAAGTATAAGATAGAGCAAAAGTTAGATTTTATTGGAGATTACAGATATTAAAAAGGGGCATTTTCTAAATTCCATTACGTGTATAAAATCACAATCTTTTGCTTTTGACAAACTTTCGTTTTCCCTATAAGTGTGTATTATTGTAATATCGAGCAGTTTATAAATGCGGACATGTAAATAAATATCACGATTTCAGAATTGAACTAAATGATTATTAATAAAAATTAGCTCATAAATAATAGTACACATAATACTTATAAACAAAATTACGAATATACGTCGTATTGATGCAATTTTTTAAGAGCGAGCTGTTTTAAGATAAACAATTCCAAAAGAGGTATTAAATATTCCCTTGTGCTCGACTCTATAGAGTTAATGTGTATTTGTCATTATTTTTAAAATCATGTTTTTTGAATATTTTTCTTAAAAATAATAAAATGCAAAAAAAAAAAAACATACTCACCAGTTTAAGTAGTTTTGGGAATTTTCGTCGTATATCGCTGTGGATCAATAATTATCTTTCATAAAATTCATTTTTTTTTAAACATTTGCTTAGCTTATATATACTTTGATAATTTCAGTTAGCAATTTTACGTCAATATAGTAAATTTAGAAATTCAATTAAACAAATTTAAAATTGGTTCGAAAATGAAATTTTTTTCATAAAATTGATACCAGATACAATGCATGTATTTAAGAAGCTTAAAATAATTTCCAAAAATAAAACGTAAAACTAAAGACAACTTCGTTATTACAAATAACTTCCGTAACGTAAATTTAGAAGCCTTTGCAGTTTTACCTATTTATACATATAGTTGCATATTTATACATATAGCTACAAACAACTTGATCTTGTATGCATTCCAGCTGATGATTTTGCTAATAATGATGTAACATACTTATTTGGCTGTCTTATTGGCGTATTAATTAGCAATCCTTGTAAGTATTTATTGCAGAGTACGTTCTGTTTTTTTTTTTAAATGTCATTTGGCAATTACCTTTGCATTTTAAAATTCAATGTTAAATTATGCAAAATTTGCCGACATTTGTTTCATTTTAACGTTTTCTGCTTTTTCTTTTATTCGTTGTTTTCTGTTTTTTCTTTTGAATCCCTTTGCGTGGTTTTATTAAATTTCAAGAAATTGTTTCGCTATATGTAAACATTTAAGGACTTATGCTGCAATAATGCTTCTAAACTAATTTTTTTTTTAATTTTTCATACACGTTTATTATAAAATCAAATTGAGAGTTGTCTTTAGTTTAGTTTTTTTTTCAATATTCAAACTTTCAACAACAATTTTATGAAAAAATTTCTAATGGCTTTATTTCAATTATTTTTTTTATTATTTGAGCTTTTTTTATTTATTTTTTTTATTTTTTGTTGTTTTTTCTTTGTTTTTAAGTTTTTTAACTCGATTTTAGTTATAAGCTAAACAAATGTTTCGAACATATGAAGTTGCAAAACGAAAATTTTGATTTGTAGATCAATCTTCCCTTATGCTACAATTTCCATTTGTACTCAAATAGAAAACATTAAAAAATAAAAATGTATTTATGTATGTATTACACAAAATTTATACTTTTTTAATAAATATTTTTACCCTATAAAAACTGTTTCATCTTTATAACGATTTTTCAAAGGATTTTTTGACAGCACAAGTTCTATAACAGGTAAATCTCGAAAGACCATTAATGCTCCTAATGAAGTAATCTGCAAATTTTTTTTTCTAAGTATACTACAACTGTTTTAAAAAAAAAAAATTATATTGAAAGAATATTTACTCTGTTATCCTCTAAGTACAGAATTTTTAAATTCGGAACCTTTTCTGCAATGTTCCTAAAGCCTTCAAAAGCTGTTATACGATTACCATTTAAATTCAGAGCTTCGAGATTCGGAATATTTGTTTCAATTATGTTTAAAACTGCGGACATAACCTGCGGTCTAAACAAAGCACAGAACATGTCTTTAAAACCTGGGTCAGCATGAAATTGTGATAAATCCAATGCTTTCGTCTCCGAATTATATCTTTTTGCCATAACTAGCTTCATTCGATCCTTAAAAGGCTCATCCACAATCACTGGCGGAACACCACTTCTAACTCTAATATTTAGTCGAAATCCATCACTCATTTGTACTTTTCCTGATTTATTTTGAAATAGTGTTGCAATTTTAGCATCGTCAACATAGAAAATGGCCATTGTTTTTTCTTCACGCCAATAATGTGGTATAAATACTTCAGGTGAAATTGTTTCAAGTAGTATCCTAATCAAATCCTCTTTCCGATATTTTTGGCCATAAGGTATAGTAACCTGATACCAACCAAAAGAACTAGGCATGATTGACCTGCTGAATTTTGATATTCCCGGAAGTTGATTTAGTTTTCCTTTAGGGATTGGAGATCCTCTACGTCTATTATGACGATTATCCCCTGAACGAAACTTATTGCGCCCAACACCACCAATTTCAACTTCATCCATAGTATCATCTTCTTCGCCAAGATGAGCCTTTATTGCGATTTCATTTATATGTCTCTTGTTTGCGTGATTAAAATTTGAAGGTTTGAAACTAACACGCCTTTGTGTTCTTTTTCTATCACGATCATCATGCTCTACAATATAAAATTTTGCAATCAAAATATATTAATCTCTCATGTGTAGTTTATATAAAATAATATACCATCATAATTAACTCTTCCTTCTCTATTAAAATTGCTTTTTTTAATAAATCCACCTCTCGGCATTTTAAATATATTTTATCTTTATTTTTTAATACAAATTTGTTGCACAAACTTATTAAATTAAAATTGAGGAATAGGGTTGGGACTAAAATATCAAAATTTCTTAATGTCGATATACATATATATATTTACGCAACCATGTAGACACGCTTAAAAATAAATTCGTGAAATATAATAATTAAGCAATTACAAAATTGAAAATGGTATGTCAGCGAAAATCTTCCTCCGTTTTTACTAAAGATAGAATGTGATGAATATTTCTGCATTAAACTCATTGTGTAGTGTACGTTCATATCACACTTTTGACAACAATGTATGCGTTTAGTCTCTTAACTTAAGCGATTTAAAAATTTTGAAGTAAAAAAAAGTATGCTTGATTATGCAGTGGTTTAACTTTGACATTTGGGTGTCACATATGTATGTTTCACCAAAAAATTTCAAAAGGAAGAATTTTTATCATAATTTTTTAAAAAGGAATATTATATAAAAAAATTGATAAAAAAAATAATTGTAATGTCTCTGGAGGCAATGGAAGACGGTAACTAATACCGGCACCATAGCAGGCGAAACTATTCAAGTTTTATATGACAATGCTAGGATCTACTAGAGAAGATATAATAAGAAATGAAATTTTTTTTGAATTGATTATACAAAACTATTAATTGGATGATTTTTGTATCCATTTTGGAATTACCAGAATTAACATTCCACAAATACAGTTTATTTCCATTATATATATACTAGTATTATTATACAACATAAGTACTTTTTATTACATACCGTCAACATTCTCCATTCAGTTTGTCTTTTCAAAAATTCAAAAACAGAGAAATATAAAATTGACAGCCGTCATTCATAATAAAAAAAAATTATATGTACATATATAATAAAAAAAATTTCATCCATTTTTGAAAATTTTCAAGTTTATACATTAAATTTTGCGAAAACGACATTTAATCGATATTTTTGATGATACATCGAATAAACAATTTAAAACAAAAATAGCAAATTCGATATTTTGTATCAAGAATTTTATTTGTAAACGCCAATTTTATTCAAAGATGGCCTTCTTTTTTTCACATTTGACTTTCTGACTCTTACAGAGAGTTGTTAAATAATAGTGGATCAGGGATGCTAAAAGTTTTTGACAATTAATGTTATCTTAATTTCCTCATTTTAATATTTTTTCTATTAAGGCACAGAAAGACATTCAATTTTTAGTACTTCAACTGTTTGATTGCTTAATTGTATTTCATATATTCAAGTGCGCACATATGCGACTGCATGGTTGTGTGCAATTAAGCAATCGAACACTGTAATTTTTTATAAACTATTGTAATTTTTATTTAATGCACTCAATTTGAATTTACGCAATAGTTTAGTAGCTTAGATATGCACGCGACGATTTAACAATCAAGCAGTAATTGCAAAATTTAAAATTGCATGTCTGACTGAGCCCTAAGTCAAATCAAATATTCGCCAAAAAATTAGTGTTCCATATATCTTTGTCACTTTTTATATTCGAGCAAAAATGTTTTACGTATATATTTCTTATACAAATTAAATAATATTGAATATTCTCGCCAACTCTAATGAAACTATGTGTATCTGTATGTATGAGGTTTCGTTGAAACTTAATAGAAACGAAAGTTCTGAATATCAATCAGCTGATTTTTATTTTGAGTTAACTAATTCTTGTTATAATTTGTGGCAAAGTTAGTGCTTTATTCATCAGATAATTTTTGTCTCATATATCTATGTAAAGAATTATCACACTATCGTAGATTTAAATGTAGATTTCCGCGTACATATAATATGTAAATGGTTTCTAAAAGATTTAAAACTTTAACATATGTATGAGGCGCTCAGTACATTAGTGGTCTACATGCAAAAAAGACATTTCGACTAAACTGCAATTAAAATATTAAAATATTTAATTTTTAAGGAAATTTTTAAAAGCAAAAACCAACTTATTGGAAAATAGAAAGAAAAGAGGAGTAAACTCAGTATTTTTAAATTATAGAACAATTCTTTAGGCTATTACAGCTCTATTGGACATTTTTGCAAAAATATTGGATAGGCCACTAATACTCTCAGCGCCTCATATGTAATGCAAATGTAAAATATGTAAAAAGTGTAAATATGTAAACTAAACTAATACAAATTTACAATCGAAAAATTTAAAAAATTTCGAATTTACAAATTGGATCTAATTTGATCATGTAGTCAAAACTGCAATGCTAAACACTCAACTAATTAACAAGCAATATTGTTTATAAGTATTACCTTATCATAATATAAACTAATTTTGCATTGACTGAATTGGAGCATGACAAAATTGCATAAGACAAAATAGCACGAGACCAAAATTGCTTACGAACGGAATAATATTCGACAAATTTACATTTTTTTTCATAAGCACATAAATATGTATTCTGAAAAAAATTTGTTTCATTATTATTTCGTTTATATAGAAAACTAACGAAGGTATTACCCATTCTATGAATTTTATGCATCGTTGTACGTCCATATAACTTTTTTATAGTATACTTACTATGTGTAAATAAATTTTATTTTAATCACGTCAATATATAAATCGACATAAGAAATATTTAAGATTGTTACAAAGATCATCACAGAAAAATCTTTAATTTGAAATTTTTATAAAAATATAAATTCTATTTTCAATTTTACTCATGTAAAATATTTTCTATTTGTAAAATTTTCTTATGTAATTTTGTCCTCATTAATTATTTGTCTTTTATGTAATTTTTCTATATACAATTTGAAAAAAAAAGCAAAAAATTGCTTTAAATTCCCTCATTTTTATTAAATTTTGTCCTATTCTATTTTTGTAGTTGCCAACGGTTTAACCTATTTTGGTTATAGCTCTATAAACTCGGTTAATATCACAGAGGGATTGGCAACTGTCATATTAAGACAATTGTCTAAAGAAATAAATATTTACTTGCTATTAATAAAATATTAAAAAACTGAAATTTCTACATCTTAAGCAAATTAGTTGCCTAAAATTTTAAAAAATTCTTTACAGTTATTTTTAAGGAAAATAATTTCCAATTTGTTGTTGGCTATTTTATTATGTCAAATAAAACCTATGAACTAGATAAAATATGCCGCGTATGTTTAGTGGAGAAAAAAGATATGCGTCCACTTTTTGGTGAACTTGTTGCAGATATGCTTATGGAAATTGCTAGAGTTGAAGTGAGTTGATACTACAAGATTTAAATATACTAATATTAATTTTTTTAGATTGAAAATACGGATGGTTGGCCAGATAAAATTTGTATTCAGTGTGTTCACCAGGTTTCTCGATGTCATGCATTCAAAATGCGTGTTGAAAAGTCTGATGAAGAGCTTCGAAACTACATAAAGAGTTTGACTGTTATTATGGAAGATGTTGAAGAAGAGCACTTAACAGACATAAACAGACAAACAAATATATCAAATGCTACATCTTTAAAACAACAACATGTAATTCAACAATCAATTGAGCAAACTCTTACCACCCAGAGTACACAACGCGAAATTCAGCAAATAACAAGTACTACCTCGCCTTCGGTTTTACCGATTACATTATCTGCACAGTCATCACCAAGTTCAAGATCAATTGATATTCCAAACAATGTTAGGACTATTGACATCGGAAACACTATTCGTAACGTAGAACTTTCGAATGTAACACGAACTGTTGATTTGTCTACAACATCTTTAAGAAATATGGACGTGGATCCATTGCAATCACAACAAGTGGTGATATCTAATGGTAATATACACAACGCCCAAATAATAGGTCAAATTTGCGGACAGCCAATCACACAAATTGTAAGTGTAAATTAATTAAATCAAATAATTCAATCATGGTCTACCGTTCAGGTTTTACAAAATGGACAACCAGCTCAGTTATTACAAATACAACGAACTTCTGATGATAGATGTGAGATTATCGTGCAACAGTCCAGCCTTCAAGACGAGGAGCAATATTTTGAGGATGTGGTAGACTTAGATCCAGATGAATTGGAACATGCAGAGCAAAACATAATACAAATCCCTGACGACGTGGATGAAATAGAACTTGATGAAGAAGAAAATGCAACACACATTTCGCATGAGGAATTAACTTTTGAACTAGAACCTGAAATATCCGAAACTGAACCAGAAACAGAAATTGAACAAGAACTTGAACTAGAACCGGAAGTTGAAAACGATGAGGAGGAAGCCGATCCACAATATATTGGTACATTTTTCAAAAAAATTAACTGACTTTTATTATAACATTTAAATTTCAGCGGAGTTTATTAATTCTCAAATAACATGTCTTGGACCAGGACAGTATGCATGTAATTTATGTAGAAAAGAGTTTAAACAAGTAAAATGGCTCCAAACGCATATGAAGTCCCATTCAAATTGGATTAAGGTACACTTCTTTATACTATTCAATTTCCAAATTCGATTTTCTAAATTTTCTAAATTCGATTATCATAATAATTATTAATTTGAAAGTTTTTGAGAGCACATAGTTTTTGGAACTTTGCTTCATTTTATGCCCTTTATGACAGCTCAATCAATTTTTCTTGAAAATTACAATTTCAACCTGTGCTTATAAAACTTTTGCGTGGATAATGAAATAAATCAAATGTATTTAAACGCTAGTAAATAAATAAATTATTCGTGTTTATTTCATACAAAATTAGTTTGTATAGAATTGAATAGTTTGATGAAGAATTTCGTTTTCTGACAATTTTTGCTCCCAATAATTACGAAGAAACATTTTTATTTTTTGTGCTACTTTTTGTTATTAAAGTGCCAATTAATAATACCTGAATTATATGTACATACTTATATTTATTTCGTTCCCTCAAGAAGTAAAGTTAAGGGAAGGTAAAATTTCTGTTTGAAAATAAATGTTTTTCTTTTCATTTTAGGCAAATTGTAAAAAACAACCACAGTGTCAAATATGCGGCCGCAGTTTTAAGGGACCTGGAATGCTCCGTATGCATATGAAAACTCACGAGGTACACTTTCAAGTGTTCTTGTTGATTTTGATTTTTAAATCTTTCTAGAACAAAATAAGGACCGATATTCATTACCGAGCCCAGACTTATTTTAAAAATTAATAACTTCTTTAGCATAATTGTAAAGATTAAACGAAAATATAAAGATTAAGCTACGATTGCTTCGCTCAAAGCTTAACTTTAGGCCTTGTGAATACTAAAAAGTATGAATACATATGCAAAATTTATATTTGATTAAAAACTAAAAACAAAGAGCAAAAAAGTCTCGATTTGTTGCAGAAACCGTAAAAAAAATACTATACATATAACGCTAACTTAAAAAATTTTATCCAAATTCTTCTTGAAAAATTTATGAATTTACCACATTCGATCTAAAGGAATCTTAATAACTGTACGAGTATAGTATTGGAAAGTATTTAATTTAAATATATTAATATTAGCAACAATTTTTAGTTTCCTGCCACTTATTGGCAAAATAAGTAAAGTACATATTCTAAGAACTGTACAGTCGTTCAACCTATTACACATTAAAGCTGAGAGGAAAAGCTTTTTAGGTTTAGCATTATACAAAATTATTGACAAAAATTTCGACTCTTTCCGAATTATTCAACATTGTAATATTTTATATTTAAGTGTTGGCCGCTCACAGTTACATACTTGCAATATGGTAATCAATAATAATGGTGTTGCCTGCAAATTTTTACAAAAAAAAACCTTTTTCTGGCGATCAATTTTTCAGATTCGGATTATCTCCTTTGGCATTTTTAATTGACCTATAGATTCCGCAAGATTGAAAGTGACTTTTGTTTAGATTTACTTATACATGTACTTATGTACATCCGTACTTATTAGGTCTATAAAATCATATTCAATAATGAAAGTTGGTCCTTCATTTTTTTTATTGTTATTCTTTTGATGTTTTTTAACTACGAACAAATAAATTTTTCAAATATTTCAAATAAATTTTTTCAAATTATTTTGACTAGACTGTAGAGAAAATTCCAACATGTTCTATATGTGAAAAAACTTTTAATTCAAAAACAATTTTATACCGCCACAGACAAACTCATCAGCAGGTAATATAATTTAAGTATGTATAGTATCATGTATAATTTCATTTTTATTAAAGAAATCATATCAATGTGGAAACTGTTTAAAACATTTTTCATCTCCGTACACATTGTCATCGCATATGGTTAAAAAGCACACACAAGAGAACCCTAAGTTCCAGTGTTCACAGTGTGAAGAATTATTTGATGCAATTGGGATTTTAAAGGTATATTGTTTTATATTTAAGGTAAGAATATTTTTTTTTAGTTCAATTTTTTAGACACATATGCAACAAACTGGCCATAGTATACATATTTCTAAAACGGATTATATAAAGGCTGGCTCATCCTAGGTTTGAGAAAAATTTTTGGTGCCCAGGATATATTGAAATCAATATATAAAAACAGATTTACATTAATAGAATAACATATGTAATTAGAATATAAAAATAAATAGAAATTTATTTTAGTTAAATTTTATTTCTAGAAATTTATGAAAATAACATGTAAATATAATAAAAAACCGAAATTAATATATTTTTTTTATCAGCCCAATGTATTATACTTTTATATTAATAAAAGCCAAAAAATTTTTTTTTTAATCTGTACGACTGAAGATATTGGGACTTTCAAAAATACTCTTCTAACTTAGATTTTAATGCAAATATTATTCGGTGAATCAAAACAAAACCTTCAAATACAGCATATTCGACAAATCTTTACAGCAAAAGAAGCACGTTCGAAAATCGCAGCATGTTTAAAGATCTAAAGCACTTCTTTAGAAAAATCCTTTAACACTTTTAACTAAAATCATCGTAATAATCAACATTGACAAGGTATTAATAAATTGTGCAACAAACAAAGGCTCAAAAACAAAACATTCTAACACACACACATCCATTGATTTAGAATTTAAATAAAAGATTCACAATAAATACAAAATTTTTTAAATTTTTTTAGTATTTCACACGTTCTAGCCTTTTAAAGTAAATAGATGTCGTTGAGGAAGTAAATACAACTCGAATTATAAATTTAAGAAGAAATCTTTAATAAATTATTAATCAAAATTTCCAAAAAAAACAACTATATAAAGATAAATATGTTACACAGTTCATTAGAATGAAAAATACAATCGAACATGCTTATATGCGCAACCTTCCGAGCAGGTTTTTGTATTTTATATTATCCACTTTCTATTTGATAAGAAAAATTACATGGTTGCAAAGGAGCAATGCGTACAAAGGAGAGTTTTGCTTATATGCATGCTACTAGTAAGGGTGTTCTATTATACTTACCTTTTGATTTAATTAGCGTTAATTAACCTTCATACCTTTACTGGTTTATCAAGTTAAAATTGTTGAAAAAAAAAACTGTGAAATTTAAAAGAAAATTCTTGAAAATTCAATTTTACTTTTAAAGTCTATCGAAACATAAATCATATTCTATAATAATATATCAAATTATTTTTAAATCCACTTACATTCAAAAAAATTAAACCAGCTTGTAGTTTGTAGATTTAACATTACAGATTTTTTATTAAATTCGACTTATAAACTCAAAATATGTATTTTATTATTTAAAAATTCCGCTTTCCACCTATTTGCAATCTGATATTACACTTCGGAAATATGTACATTTTAATATTAAACTTATAGAGCAACTTCGTAAAAAAAAAATTTCAAACTTGTCCTAAAATATTTTTTATGTAAAAGTTTAATTTTATGTTTTTAGGGTATTAGAGTTTATTAGTTTAGCCTAAAATATAGTTAATACGTAAATTATGTTGGTATTTACTATATGCATCAATGTAAATGCATATAGTAAATAGTTTTATATTTTTATTTGTGCACTGTAAAAATTTAGTATTGGAATACATCCTCATGACAATTGAAATAATTTAATTATACCAAAGATTATTCTAATGATCTTTGATCATATATTTTCATTAAAACATGAAAACACCTTAAAATAAATAAAACATATTTTAATTAACTAAATTCGAAAGAAAATATTAATGAACAAAAATATTAATTCAATTAAAATTCCGACAACAATTTTTAATAAAATAAATTTAGTGCAAGTACAGAAAATTTATTGCTATGCATTAATTGTATTTCGCTTTCTCTCCCGGTAAAGGCTTTTATCATAGCGTATAAAACATATACATAATTGCATTATCTAAATTCAAATATTCGGTTAAAAGTGAATTATATATATTAAATTTTTAAATACTCTTTTAAATTTTGCTATATAATAAATAAGTAAAAAAAATTCTAACTTGAAGAAAACCAAAGCGAACTATTGTGAAATTTGTGAAACTCGATTTCTACATTTTTTACATAATATTATTAAAATAATAATTTTTTTTTCATAATATATACACATTTATATATTACATTTAATATATCTTCATACTTTTGTTATGTATAGAAGTTTCCTTGTGTTTATTTTAAGTTATTTTTTTAATTTGGGTACAAATTAAAAACTTTTTTATTGATTTTCGTTGGATGGAACTAAAAGTATTAGAAAAAGGTGAAAACTCTCCGAAATAAGAACTATGATTTCTATTGCGAGTATAAACATTCAATAAAAAATATAAAAAGCATTTTGTTATAAGTATTTTTTTTTAATTTCCCTAATTTCAATTTTTAATTAAATTATTATATGAACTGTTGACTCTAAAATAATTTCTTTAACATTTTGTGTAATACACCTAACACTATTTATATATATATATATTTTTTTAAAGTTTTTTCTGAAAAAAATTTGCCTTAATTGTTTAAGAATAAATTAAAAAATTTTATTTAAAAAAAAAATGTATTATTAATTCTGACTTTAATTTTGATTTATTGGACACAAACACCAACCATAGGAGAACCATCACTGCGTTCATTAGAGTTTGATCCACTTGAACCACTACTACTTGCATTTACATTATTCGTTGCTTGGGCTGAAGATAGTACTGAACTCGAGATTGCACCTCCGCTTCTTCCGGATAATTTATTCGATGATAAATTACTGTTTGGTGAATTAATTATTGTATGACGATCACCACCACTACTAGTGTTTCCAATATTTGAACTTATTGCACCGCTTGCATTATTCGCAACTGATGAAAAAGGATAATTAGTATAATGTTGCGCTTGATAACCAGTTATATTTGGTATTGGAGCTATGTCACTACTTCTTCCGGTACCACTACCAGTAACGCTGGAGTCAGTCAACATAAGGTGTGTAGCATTTGATATACTATTTCCAACACTGGGAACTGAACCTAAATCAATTGGTAAAGACGAATAGTGGCTAATAAATGATGAAGACATTTTATTGTGTGCTGAGGAACACGTGTTGTTAATATTATGGTGACGATGATTATGGCCAATACGATTTCCGTTATTGCTAGCGCTGTTACTTGTATGACCTCCTGCAATGTTATTATTGTTATTATGATGCAGGTGTCCAGCTAATCCAATAGCACTTAATGCATGATTTGATGTAGAATATCTCTGCAATCCTAATGAAGATGGTGGGGGTAACGATGATGGAACTGGTGGATCACAATCCATTGGATGAGAATAATGCTGGTTTAATATATTTGCGGACGATTGTTGATTATTTAAGTGAGATATGTTACAATTACTACCGTGTGAAGATGAATTTGATGAATTGGAGCCAATCGATATGGTTGACGATGGTGGTAATAAGGGTTGCATATTTTGCTGAACTAGCGTTGTAGCAACAGCTACCATAGGATTTTGTGAATTTTGTTGTTGCGGCTGCTGATCGTACAATTTCATTATTTGATGATCAACACGAATAGGGCGGTTATGACTTGAAGCCAATTGAGATGACTGACCACTCCCAGATAATGTAGATTGTAATGAAATTGAGCAATTCAAATTAGGATGAGAAAGCAAACCTGAAATTAAAAAGAATATATTTGTATACATATGTATAATCTATTTATTACGTTTATTTATATATGTAAGTATATAGAAAAGTTCATTTACGTTCTTAAAATACTCTTATGTATGACTAATTTATCGAAGTACGTACCTACTACAATTAATTTTTTTCATATTTTCAATAGCTTTTTTAGTGATGTGAGAGAAGGGCTAATAAAAATGGAAGAATATATCATGAAGGTGATCCTGACAAAAAAACAATTAAGCGAAACATACATGACTTATTTGAAGTTTCTAAAAAGAAAAAAAAAAACAACTTTTTCGATTTTTGGAGGATATTTGCTAACTGTTTTTTTAGTATGTAACCAAATGCTTATTTTGAGGACAAATTCGTTTGAACATGTTTACATTTGAACCCTCCGTTCTTTTTTCCGTCACATCTAAATGATATTTAAGTTCCATTTAGAGTTTTAATTGATGATTTACGATTCATCAAAACTTATATCAAATATATTAATTATGTATACGTCAGTAGAATTTTCTGTCATATGGCAAATGACAAAATTAAAGCCATGTGCAGCCAAAACTAGAATTTCGTTACATACATATACATATATTGTATTTACTATTTACATATATACATTGGCTGGATTGAAAAAGAAGCGTACGAGACATTGAGTTTGCAAATATCATACATTATGTTGCAAGTTGCCGCTGAAGGCTTCTTCTTTTTAAAATTTATGTATGTATTTGATTATCCTTTTGCTATATCGAGTATTTTACTTCCATTGTTAGTTTGATTTCAAATTCGCGTACTTTAATTTTATTTTCAATTTTTGTTTTTTTCTCGAAGTTCCTATTTTTTTACTTTTTAATGCAAAGTTTTCAATAATTTTCATTGTTCAAAATTGTTGAGTAACGATTGAAGGGACTACTCACTTACCTGAAAAATACATATATAAACCGATTTCTGTTTAAATTGATATTAAAAGGAGCGTAGCTTTGAAGGATTTAAACTTCTAACGAGCTTCTTGCGACGGTTACGAAAAGTCACTTGTGAAAGTTTCATATTTCGGCTCTGTCACAATGAACTATCAAAACGGTAAAATTTTTTTAAAAGGATCAGGCCTTATTCTCAAGATTCTCAAAAGTTATTAGGGTGAGCATCGCGAGGGAAAAACTAGTTAAGATGTAGTTAATGGGAAATTTGAAATCGTTGAGGGGCTGTGACAAGACAATCTAGATTGAAGATCGGTTTCTCGACATATTCTCTCCGTAGGAAAATGTCAAGAAACGGATCAATACTTAACGTACTAATTGATTGATTGTCAACAATAAAAGCAATCCAAGTATATGATGCGACGTTCTACTTCGATGAAGATATCCATGAAAAATTTTGTAAAACGATAAAAAGTCTGTCAACAATACTGTCATACAATGAGGTCATAAATTCAAGTTAAGGTGATGTTCATTCAGAAAATCGTTTTGAAACTTGTCTTGTAGGTAAGACTACATTCAATACAATATGGACTAGCTGCTTTCTTAAACGCAAAAGCAGCGTTTCGATGGTAATGATACTTTTTCGAAAAATCTCCAATTTTTAAATTTTTCAAAGAAAAAAACACTGTTTTTTAACATATTAGTGTTTATACATATTTTTCGCACTCTTAACCAAAGCTGATTTTCTAAGAGTCCTATAGGCACCAAAGGTTTTTTCCAAAAAGAAATTTTTACAAAATGCAGAGTCGATTACCAATATTGCGTATTTTGTTATATTCTTTTGGAAAAATCTTTAATCAACTTTACAATATGCTATGCAAATAACTGTAAACTCGTATATAAATATTTATAAGCTTGTAAAAAAAAACAAACAGCTGGTTAATACGTAAAGCTAAAAAGCATTAAGAAAGTTAATTATCAAAATATAAAACCATGTATATATGACCATGGTTTCAAGTAATGGATACACAAAATTTTAAGTATGTTTCAGTAAAAAGTGAAAAATAAAAAAATTAATACCTTGATTATTTATGTTGTTTCACACTGACGTTTCACCTTGATTCTGAAAAAAAATTAAATAGAGTTCTAAGCACGGTATAGATATAGGAAAGATTTTATGAAAAAAAGAATTTATTTGGAGGCAATTTTGGGACCAATTGATTTCCAGCTAAACGCCGAGAATTTTACGCAAACTTTTAATAAAAATTTAAATATCATGTAGTTTTTATCATGGAATTTTTTTTTCTTATTAATTCATCATCTTCTTAATTTCTAAAATAATAATAAATAATATTAATATCTTATGTGTAATTTTTTCCTAAGTAGTTTTGTGCAGCAACACTTCATGATAACAAAAATAGTTAAAATATTTTAAATGTATGAATTGACTCCGATAATTTTAAAGTTTCAATATAATTGTAATGAGATACATTCCCTTTTTGAGTGTACTTAAAAAATTTATAGAGTGTTCGGGTACGATATCTGTAACGCATATTATGCATAGCAATTATGCGTGCTTGCAATAACTTTCACTAATACTTACCGTTTTATTATCAATATTCCATTAAGGTCAAACAAAAGCAAGTGATGTAGGCAATAAAATCAAGTTTTGTGCGTTTTTCTTTTCAGTAATTTAAATTTTTAAAATTTTTGTAAAAGTAATTCTATATTGAACCGTTCTAAGCTCAAAATGAGTGAAGATTATATTGTTTTTTTGTAACAATCATTCTGTTACAAACAAAATAAGTTATTTACAACTTGGAACTCAATGTGCCCGTGCAGAAATCGAAATATGTTTTTAAAACTACATGTTCTAATACAAATAAAAAAACATATAGAAAATTTTAAAAACTATGACATTTCAACTTTCATGATTTTTTTAGTGAAAAATGATTGATTTTCCTGCGAAAAAAAAATATTCTCGGAACTTAAACCATCTGTAAAAATTTTTTCTTTATCAGAATTAATGCTTTTAATGCTTAATACGTATAAATTACTATTAACCTTATTAAAATTTGTTAATATAATTCGTCGTTGAGGACGTTTTACCATCCATTTAATTCCACTTCATACACTTTTTTGAATATAGTAAAAGTAACACCCAAAGAAGAGCCAATTTTCTAAGTTGATTTCGATTTTACGGACATTTTCATTTTGTTCGAATATCAGTACTTTAAATTAAATCTGATTCTTTTTATACCAAAAAGTTGATATTTCTGTAACAAATGTTGGTTTTTGGACCTTTTGGTCTGACTTAAATAACGATCGAACGTCCCAAAACAAGAAACTGTAAAGTATGCACCACAAAACCTTCTTTACCTCGTTTAAGCACATGTTTTATTTATTTGTTTATTTGCACATATTCATTTTAGTTTCTAATCTGTATCACAACTAGATCTCGTTTTAAAGAATGATTCGAAAGCCGTAAGATTTTTATGGTGCGGCGCAATTTTAAAAATTGCTGATTTTTAATTAGTAGCAGCATTGGGTTTCCAGCGGTAAATTGCGATGAAACGATAAATTAAAAATCTTTTTTTTTTCTTATAAATTCTTCCTTATAATTTTATGATAACCCTATTTTAGGACAATCAAGTTGATATACTTAAATTCAAAATTCCAGTTTTTAAAAAGGTTTCATTTAATCCAAAATTCTTATATGTATAGTTGTAAATTAACCCATTATGTATTAATATTTTGTGTCATATGTACGCCTATACTGCAATTGTGAATATAAAATGTTTTAAACATATAAAAATTTAAGTATTGATATATAATGTAACGGAATAATGTATATAGAATTATATATACACTTATACATATTATACACAATTGTACAAGGTTTTATCGTTTTATTTAAATAATTATTGTTTATTAACTTATTTTTATTATATACTTCAGCTTCTAAATGTTTTTCAATTTTTATATTTCTGTTTTATGTTCTAATTTTATGTATTTTTACGACCTTTTACAGTTCTATTAAATTTTTAGTTTAGTTATTAGTTCTGCTGTTATACTAAAGGATTTCTGTTGTTAATATTACCACTACTGCTGCTATTACTATGATTGCTGTTACCACTATTAACGGTTTCTAATATCGTTTGTTGCGTTGACTGATGCAAATGCGGCACGTTTGTTGCTGAACCAGAACTTGATCCTGATGATGAATTTGATGAAGAAAATGGATTATTAATAGATTCCCGAGGCAATACCAGTCATCGTCTTTCTTCTATTTTTTTTTTTTTATATATATTTTTGTGTACCGGTGTATTTAAACAATAAAAATTTTTTTTCACCAAATATAAATGTTTGAAGTACAATATTTATTAATAAATAAATTATGGAATATGATGCGACAAATATTATTATGACGGTTTCAAAAAATTTAATCCAATATACGAAAGCAAGAAGAAAATTGAAAAATGTTGTATTGTCATTAATTATAGTTTTATTAATTATATTAATAAAATATTAATAAAAGCTAAGAGTTATCTTGAAAAGTATTGGAAAACAAAATGATAAGTAAATAAAAAGTTTTTGGTATAATAATCAAAAAAAAATTTTGACAAATAATAAAAAGCCACTAAAAATTTAAAATCTGTATAAATAAAACATAAGTAAAAAATTTTAGATACAAAATTAAAGTGTCATATTCCTTAATCTGTTCTTGAGTCGAAATATCATAGAGTTGAGAATTTTAGGAATAAAATCAATAATAACGAACCGTACTCATTTGCAGACGAGCAAAACATTAAAAAAAAAACGGGAAATTTTTTTTATTTTCACTTTCTTTCCAATTGTAAAATCTGAAACTTGGTTTTCTTGAAATTGCTTATTTTTTAAATATTTTCCTTTATAATTAAAAAAAATGACTAAATGAAACCGTGTAGATTTAAAGATTTTGTACCATAGCGTATGTTCACGGATGTCGTTTTTAATTTTTTACTTCATAGAGTATTTAAAGACATAATAAAAAATAGTATTATAGTATTTTAATAGTATTTTCAATTGTCCCCTCAATCATCTTCTTTATGTAAAGAATTATGCTGTACCACTTTATTCTTTATTTGATACAAAATATTTAGTAAATTCGGAATAATAGTTCAAATACCTGGGTTATTGAAAAAGTAAAGGAACAGATAAAGAAACCAGAAGATATAAGTGAACGGAATAAAAATAGGGTTAGAAATATTTAATTTTATGGATTCTACTTTTTATTTAAATTTGTTATTTTATTGTTTCACAAAGTATAAGGAATTCCCGCTCCGTCATATTTTGGTTAACATGAAAAAATTAAAATTCTTTTGAAATAAGCAAATAATTCAGACACTTTTGGTATTTTATAAAATTAGCTTTTTAATTTAAAAGAAGGCTTAAAGTTTTGTGTTGCGTTAGTTTTTTGTAAGATTAAACTTATTAACAACCAAAACTTATATAAGCATTTTATATTTTCAGATATTCGAAATCTTAATAAAAAATTATTCCCAATTTATAGTCATGTATGGGTTTTGACATGTTCAAAATTAATCAAAAATGTACATACATGTATGTATACAACTAAAATGAATTAAACTTAAAATATGTACAAAAAAAGGTGTTAAATATAAAAAAAAAATATTTAATTAAATATATTAAATATTTTACGTACCGTGACTTTGTGAATCTGTATGAGATTGCTGTTGTTGTGACTGTTGTTGTTGAATTTGTTGATGTTGACCTAGTACCGATGAAGTTGATGTAACTGATGGTGATGATATTGATGACACATTTGCTGTATTAGTGCCTTCATCTGATGTACGTTTGAAGAAATTATGTTGCAAGGCATAATACGGTGTAACACGAGTTTTTGGATCATAATCTAACATTCTCAATATTAAGTCTTTAAATTTCAAATAATCTGATACTGAATGTCCCAATTCATCAAGTCTTCTGCCGCCTGGTCCTCCAGTTTCAACACCTAGTATATCATGTAATTTTCTAGAACCTGGTGGTTTATATTTGCGACCATTTTGACTTTTTTTTAATACATAACTACCATCTGTCAATTTATCAAAAAATTTTCGTGTTTTATGTGCTTGATCCAAGAGATATTTAGGTGGCATTCCTAATACTTCAACTATTTTATTCATTTGATCGATTTCATTACAGCCAGAAAATAATGGTTCGCCTGTGTGCATTTCGACTAATATGCAACCTAATGACCACATGTCAATTGCTAAATCATACGGTATTCCTAATAATACTTCAGGTGATCGATAAAAACGTGATTGAATATATTGGTATATCTACAAATTTTAATTCAAAATTAATAGAAATAAATAACAAAATATTTGATTTTCTTACTCGTTGTCCTAACTGACATGAACTACCAAAATCTACAATTTTAATAGCTGAACGTTTTGGATTACAAAGTAATATATTTTCTGGTTTTAAATCACAGTGTATAATATTCAGTTCGGGTGTACTCAGAAAGAGTAAAGCAGTACATAGCTGTTGGGCAAATTTCCGTGTTAAATTCAATGATACGCCACGAAAATTTGTATTTCGTAGTAAATCATATAAATTATAGGAGAGCAATTCAAACACTAAACATAAATGGTTACGCCACATAAAATGTCGTTTCAGTTTTACTAAAAATAAAAAATAAAATTATGTTTTAAAATTTAAATAATAAAATTAAAATAGTAATTTGTTATTAATTTATTGCTCTTTTTTGGTCTTCAAAAGTAAAAAACATAAAATTTCAGTTAAAATAAATCAGGTTAAAGTATGAAATTTTAAATTTACTTAATTTTATAGAGAATATGTAAGTTTTTAATTAGACTAAAATTTGTAATATGCATATTTTTGCTTAGCATGAAAATAGTATAAAAATATTGGTACTTATAGTTCCTTCTGTTATGAATATGCAATATATCTGCAAGAAGTAACAATTCTTTTTTTTTTCTGACTTAATTAATTGATTAATAACTTCAATCCTACTTTCTATATATGCAACAAATGGATCAAGTGCTTTTAAAGAATAATTTTAAACATATTTTAGAATTTTTAAATACTGTATTTTGGTCTTATTTTGTTCAGTCTCGAGTAACTCAACTCAAAATAAGACCAAAAAATACTCAACTTTTTACTGCCGAACAAGAGTGCGGGTACCTTCAGACATACATGAAAGATTGTCAGCGTAATGTGTAAAACTGCCGAATGTTAAATGATGCTTTGTTTCAAGGTGAACCAAGAATGCTTTTTATTTTTTTTATAAATCAATACTTGTGAGTACATTAACCATATTATCTTGAAATATTTTTGAATATGCTCGTAATGTTTTAATTCTCTAGCATTCTAACCAAATTTTTCTAATATTTTTTAGATAATCTGATTAAGTTGGATAAGTTGGATTTTTATAGAAAATTTGGCAAATTTGAGCTCATTTTAACTATATTTATACAATACGAACTGTAAGCATTCTGCTGACTGGAATTTGCTTAATTCTACTAGAAATAAAACAATATCTTAATTACATTTGCCATATAATTCAAATATGCAATTAACTAAAATAATTAGTAACTAAACTTTATTTAGTCTCGTTTTTTTCTATATAGAATGAATTTTTCGATAATAAATGTGTGAAATTTATTTTTATTATAGAAGATTTTTTCGTTAATACCTATATATTTATTAATGAATTTACTTTACCACTTTAGAATTTACAAAACAAAAATTTTCCTTAACGTCTCAAAACACTAAATACTTGATCTCATAATTAAGCGTTATCAATGCGATTGATATCGAAAATATTGTCTCAATATTGTTATTTTTGCTTAATTTCGATGTTTTTAAATAGTTATGAATAAATTACCTATATAATATTTATTTTCAGCGTCAGCTCGATTCATCATTTCTAAAAGCTTTACTTCAATTTGTGCCTGATTTAGGAACGGTTTTTTATTTTTAATAATTTTAATTGCAACATGACACTGTTCTTCATGGTCGTAAGCCTTTACTACTTGACCAAAACTTCCCTTACCTAAAATTATAAATTTGTATTAAATATACATATATTTTTTTTTTAAATTTTAAAAACTTATAATTACAATATAAACTAAAATATAGAATATACTTTACCAATTAATGAATCAATTTCATAACGGTCTAAGAACTTTTCACCATTTTTAATAATATAGTCATGGTTATCATCATCATATCCATCGTTATACAATTTTCTTTCCTTCTTAGTTGAAGAATCGTCTTCACCTTGAGTTTGCTGAGCACGTCGTTTTTTCTTAGCATAATAAACCTTTAAAATATTACAAAAAAAAAAAACAAGAAATCAAATTTACATAACCTTATCTTTCTGTAATATTAAATTAAAATATGTATTTGAATTCCATATTGCAATACATGTGCATTTTTCGTTATATAGTGACAAAAGTAATACATACATAATTATACATACATATGTATATGAATAAGGATTTCCAAACACTTCCAATTTTTGATTATAACAAAATTATGATTATAAAAATTGCAATTTGAATTATAATAATCTTAGATTTAAAAGAAAATAATTTTGTATCAAATCATATTTTTAAATTTGCAATGACGAAAAAACCCAAAGTCAAAGTCGAGAGAGTAAAAAAGTTGAATTGAGTCAAGATTTTAAAACATTTTTTTTTTACTAATTATAAAAGCCTGTAATCCGTTTAAATGATTATTACTTAATTATAATAAGTTTCAATTAAAATAATTTAGAATCGACAAATCGTATGATTTCGCCAACCAATTTGTAAATCTTATATAGTTATGTAACTTCAAACTTAATATTCAAAAAAATAAAATACACACTCCAATTAGTTGGAAATAAAACTAACCGAATAAAAATTGACATTAACGGATAAAGTGACAAATCACTTAAAAATCATATGATGTTAATAACATGGTAGAACATGTTCCTTTTGCATCAGAATTTTATATTGTAATTTTCGAAATAATACGTTAAATTTCCATGGATATGAAATGAGAATTGTATAAAAAAAAATACACGTATTTAAAATTACGATAGAAAGTCACATAGAGAACAAATTTCCTAAAATTACTTCCGTAATACCTCCATAACTCAATTAACAAAATGTCCGCCTAAAAAGCGGTATGTCACTGGTTCGAACTGAGTTTGAGGAGAAGAATTTTGAATTTTTAAGTATCACCTTGTATAAAAAATGTAGTTGTATAAAAAAATTTCTTTTTTTATTTAAAAAAAAAAAACATTTTTATTTCATCTCATAGTACACTTACACGTTATTATTACTCTTTACTTATAGGTATCAATAAAGATTAAAAATCATATAGTGAATGAAATAACAATTTTTTTATATTAACACAAACTCACCTCATTAATATGCTTGTATGTTTTTATTAAATCTACACTCAATTTCCGTAATGGTGCTAAAGCTGGGTCACGAAAATGCGTTGGTATCCTGGCTTGCATTGCTCGAACATCTGATTGTGACGTTGGACTAGATCGCTAAAAAAAAAAACGCATTCATAACTCAAAATATTGTTGCTTTCTTAATTTAAAATATAGTTATACTTATGTTAAATAGTCAATGAAACATTAAAATGATATTTAATAATTTGTTAAATTCAATAAGTTATTCTGTTGAAATTTGCAAAAACCCCATTTTTAATTAATTTTAAACAAATTTAAAAAAAGAGATAAATGTAAGAACCTTATTGTTCTTATAAAAATTTGATGAAATTAATTTGAATTTTTCTCTATTTAAAAAATTCTAATGAAAAAAGCTTTTATTTTATAAAGCCTATCCCAAAATGTTGAAATTTTCATAACGAGAATAATATTGAGCAATTCTAATGTCGGTTTTTTGCAAATTTTCACAAAACTATACTGTAGCTTAAATAATATTTGATTTGCTTTTATTTTATGTTTACACTTCGTATTTTATGCATATTAAAACGGTTTGCAAAATATTAGATTAAAGAAATTCTGTAGTTAAAAATTTCAAACTTACGTGATGTATAACATCTCGATGTGTTGCAGGTAATTCCTCTTCAACAACAAATCTTCCATATAATGGTGCATGCCGTTGTCTTCCTGTTTCCGTTCCAGATGAGACAGAACCGTAGCCGGCCGATACTTAAAAAAAAAAGAAAAATATATATTATTACAAACTCATTCAAAATAGTACTAAATATTGTAATAAATTGTGTGTAAAATACGTTATGTGGCTATATGGATAGGAAAATACAAAATGAAGAATAAAAAAATGTCTGAAACTAATAACCAACAAAGAATGATCGAAGAAGAATCAAACTGTTGATGAAAATCAAAAAATAAAAAATACGTAAATATTTATAAAAATCCGAAAAAAATGAGGCCAATCAACTGTAGTTAAATTGTTAAACCAAAATATTGACACTCTCTAATCTTGAAATGCAATTTTTAGTTCTGCAATTACTGCTTGATTGTTAAATCGTTCCGCGTACATCCAAGCAACTACTTAAACTTAAATGTTAAACGTTAACTAAAAATTGCAATCAATTTGTAAAAAATTACATGTTTGATTTCTTAATTGCATGGGACCATACAGTTGCATGTGTGCACTCTTGAATATAAAGCTATGGATTACAAAAAAGAAGTTAAACAGCTGAAAAATTGCATAACTGTCTGAACCCATATACTTATTAATAATTTACTCAAAATAAAAAATTTAAAAAACCTAAAACGCCAACTGTAGAAGTTGTCTTTACGACACTTCTGTGATTTCTACACAATGAAACTTCATAATGATAATGTTGTCAGACATAATCATCATGCTTTACTAGTTTCCAATATAGAGTATTAGATACGTCATGCATTTTATCAAAGTTGATTTTCTTCATGTTTGTCACAAGCCAATGAAACAAACCAATGTAATAGGAAATTATTTTAATTATTAAAAAATACGCATATATATGTACATATGTACATAACGTATTTAAAAATATTTTTGAAGAATATGCTACAAAATAAATCATACAAAATAGTAGTGAGATTGCATCACTATTATTTTGTATGATTTCCTTGAATTATTTTTACTAACATTAAAATTCACAATAGATTTTTTTTTCTTTTTAGATTTTATTTTTAACTTAACCTGTCAGTTCAAGTGTATAAAACTAAAGAGGAAACCATAATAACATTACACACACAATATAAAGAACAAACGTCAGAAGCATTATATTTTTTCTCACTGTTCTCTGTAACTTCGGATCAACGGTGTTCTTATTATACTATCTTATGAGAAATACGTTAATCATGTTTCTGTAGGGTAAAACAAAAATGACAGAAGCGTAGGTAGTTGAACTTTGCATTGTACTTTAACACAAATGTTTTATTACATTTTTAAATTAATTATTCACATGTAACTGTCACTTAACATTTAAAATAAAATTTGAAATATAAGATGTACATTGAAATAATTATGTAATAAAATTCATGATTAATTTTTAAATTTTCTCGCATACCATTTTCATAACCATCAAGATTAACGGTTCCATTATTGATGCGCCAACACTGATAATAATTTCCATTGTTGGCCGCTGAAACAGCTTGTAAATAACTTAAGGCTATAGCCGACATTTCTTCATGAGAAATAGAATTTCATGAATTGTAATTGAACACTACTTTTATAATAGAAAAATTTGAAATAAATTCATAATTTAAAATTTATTAAAACACTTTCCCTTTACAAAAAAAATCAAAAGAAAAATAATATTCTTAAATTGTTTAAACAACTGAAATTATTTTATTTTGTTTCTAAAAATATTTTCAGAAAAAGTTTAATTAAGGTTTAAATTGCGCCCGTGACCGATTCCTTCATTTTTTAATTTTTTTTATCAAACATTACAAAATGAACTGAGGTCCGAATGCGTGTAAAGCCGTTAAATTACTATTTTCATTGCATTTCTTTTATGACAAAAAAAAATTATAATAAATAAACCAAAATAGTTTTGCGTTTCCTTTCCTTTTTTTCTAGTGTCACTTAAAGAATTTCTCTAAAAATAAATTAGAAATTTGCAATAAGTTTGTTTTCTTCTCAAATTTACAAAAAAAAAACACCAATTAATTTTCACGAAATGTATGAGAAAAACTCAATAGAAATAAAGAAAAAAAAAAGAAAATTTGATGAGATCAACACATTACCGAACTATCGTCTTTTTACTTTTGATTATTTATTTTCCAAAAAATTAATGAAAATTTAAATGTCTAAGTCTCTATATCTGATATTAGCACAAAAATTTATCAACGATAAACTTAGACATGCCAAAAATGAACTTGAATGTAAAATTTTTGTGAAAATTGCTAAACAATCTGATAGAAAACATCACGCTAAAAATAATTCCATTGCGCTTTTCCCACTTTACATCAACAGTAAAATTTGGCATGTGAAATTTGGTGATGTTACAATACCTCATTAAATGTATGTAATGCAGTCGCTAAAAACAAAAATATTTACTAAAAGTTATTTATATGAGTTTTATGCTATTAAGATGACAAAAATCCTCTCACCAACATCAATAAAATTTTACAGATAATTTAAGTTTGACCCAGAAAGGTCGTAGGGTATATTTCACTCAAAAATGTACTTAATGAAAACATTGTTGACACTGTTTGCATGAAATTAGAAGGAAGGAGAGTCCTACGCTCAAAATAAAAAAAGAAATTTTGCGGTCGTAGTTGAGCTTTTTATTTCGTACATTAAACACAATATTCTAAATTAGTGTTGTCTTATAGCTGCTGATATTTTCAATTTAACGAAAAATTCATTAAAATATTTATTAAATTATATAATTATACACTAATAAAATTTTTAATGTAATAATATTAAAAATTTTAATAAATATAATATTGAAAATTTAATTAGAGTATAATTTTTAAAATGCAACTTACTTTTAACAATTTGTGTATATTTAACAACAATTACAAGATCTATTTATACAATTAGGATTTATTTTTCAAATGTTTGGCACGTATCATGCAAATTTACAACATCTTAAGAAATATTCATGACGTGTATTCATGTAAAAATAAAATTAGTTTAATTAGGCGTCTATCTTCAAATCAAAATACCAGAAAAAGGTAAAAAAGAAAAGTTGAAATCTTTAAATTTGAACTAAGTACAGTATTTCTTAACCTTTGCAACTGTTAACTTTTTTTCTATCATATTTGAAAGGTCATTTCCCTTAAACAAATGAAAAGACCTTATACTTAGAAAACAATTTACTACGTCAATTATTCATATACATACAAACATATGTATAAAAATTATAATATAGTATTTAAATAACATAATTGCATACTTTTGGGATGACAACAACAATTCAAAAAGAAGTATTGACATAATCGTCGAATTCGGTGATTAATCAAATAAATTAAATAAGCTATTTAATTTTTTTGAAGAAAAAACTTTTTACCATTAGTTTTCAAATTTTACAAAAATTCGGAAAAGGTTACAGTTTCGGAAAAATAAGGAGTTAAAAATGAAAATTTTTCTAAATTTTACATTTATGTATATTACTTACTTTTTTGTTTTGCTTTATCCATTAGCATAATAGTGACCACGCCAATTTACACAAAAAAAAATAATTACAAAAAAAAAAAAAATAATAATAGTTATAATAATTAATAATAAAGTGTTTTTACTTTAGAATAAAAACTAAAGTCCTTCTTGTTTTATCTTTTAAAAACACACACAACTCAATAATCAAAATTATTGTAAATCACATAGAAAAAAAAAATGTTACTAAAATATTCTCAATTTATTGGTTTTGTGAGATTTTATTTTTCCTTTTCCTTTTTTTTTTTTGTATTAACTTATATAGGGTATAAAATTTTCATGTAAATTTTTACTAAATTCCTGTCACATTACCAGTGCTTAATTATGGTAGTAGTGGTGGTATAAATTTTTAAACTTAATAATTACGTATATTTTTTCAATATTTAAATGTCTTTGTTGTTTTCAAAGTGTTCGCACTTGTTTTTTTTTTCTTTTTTTTTGTATTTTTTTTATTTAATTTTAATATTTTATAATATAACTTAAATAATTAATTATTTAATATTTTTTTTTGGGTTTTGTTATCAATATTTTTAAATAAGATTTTGTGTTTTTGAGTTTTAAATTTCATGTCCCAATATTTTACTAATTTGTTAATCAACATTTCGTTAAAAATTATTATGGTCTCATTAATGTTAAAAAATTAAGTATTGAAATTAATTTTTTAATTTTATATTTATTTCAATAATTTTTATAAAATATTTTAAATAAACATTTATAGAGTAGCACTTGGTTAGACTAAGTGTAATATAAATTACATAAAATTAGTTTTTGTTTTTGTTTATAAATACTTAAGCTTATATTTTATAATCATATGTATGTATAATTATGTATTTATTATATATATATACATATATATATATATATATATATAAATATTTATTAAATTTTTTTTTGCAATTTTGTGTTTTTAATTTAGAGCTTTTTTTTTTGTTTTGTTTTTTATATTATTAAAATTGGTATTCGTTCCATTTTATTTTATTTGAATATTTTTTTTTTTCTTTTAGTGCTTTCATATTTAACACTTTTCGCACTTTCTACCACTTATTTCTTTGTGTTTTTTTTTGTTTTGTAAAAAGTTTTTAGAAAAACACACATATTTTTACATACTTATATATTTACATGTATAAAAAATATTTTAATGTTTTTTTTTTTTCCTTTTTTTATTTTGTTGATGTTAGCAAAATTTTTTTAAGAAACTGAATAAAAATGGGTTATTTAAATTCCCATTCGGATTTTGTATCATTAAAAACAGATAAAGTGAGCATGTATGGCGATGCATATTAAAAATTTGATTTCATCTAATTTTCGTTTTTTAAATCTGATATTTCAATTAAAATCAAACAAGTCTTTGAAATCTCATTCAAAATCATTCATAAAATATTTTTTAATTATTTTGACGATTTCTTTTCTTGTTCTTCTTTATTTTATTTTGTGGAATTGTTGCAGTGTTAGTAACTAAATTTATTTTAAAACACTTGTTTTTTTTTAACCAAATTCAATAATTTCTATTTTACAATTTTTATTGTTATTTAAAAGAAATTAGAAAAAAAAACAATGATCTCATAAATTTGCATTATAAGAGTCATCCATTAAAACCAACCGATGAATTTAGAAATCTTTTTTAAACGTACAAAATTAAAAGCAATTAACATTTTTTTTTTGCTTATTTATAAAACTTTTTTACACAATTCACTTGTTTTTTTGTTTTTTTTTTTTTTACAATTAAACTAAAATATAAAAAGTTGAAAAAAAATCCTGAAAATAAAAATAAACATGTTTTTTAAATAATTAAAAAAAAAAATTTTTAAGTAAAACAAAATTAAAATTACAATTTTAATTTTATTTGGTCATAATTCTGATAAACGCATCACTGTAGTCGATAGGATATCTGCTCAGCTCAAAGTGTTAAAGGTTTGAAGCTTAACATTTTTTTCACGTTCTAAAATTTTCGATTTATTTACAAGTAAATTGAAAATTTTATAACGTGAATAAAAGTTTTATATAAAAACGTCGTAAAAATCTTGATTTGAAGTGATACGTTCAAAAGAATTTTTATTGAAATATAAATTTGAGTATTGCAACTTTAGAACAAAAAAGTGAATGATTTTACAATAAATTTTTTGATATTATTTGTATTTTAGCAATTTATATTTAAAGGAATATATTGACAGAAATAAAATTTCAAAGAAAAATAAAAATTATTTAAATATTTGTAATAACTTTCATCCAACCATACAAATACATATAAGAAATCTCATTATTTAATATCATGCAATATAATAAATTATTGCATATTTCTCGGATGAAAATTAAATTATCGTTAATACAGTGGTCGGGTTCGACAGCTAATATTTTGGTCTAAGACAATATTAATATTAATAGTAAGACACTTAACGTTAGTTTTTTACTGTTGTAGAAATTTGAAGAAAACTACAGTTTTGGTAAAAAATCTACAAGAAAAATTATTCTTTAATTGTGCAAGCTATTAAAATTGTGCAATTAACCGTAAAATTATCCTTAATTTTAATAACCATTTTGTCATTGTAACGTTTAACTTTTTAAATTTAAAAAATGTTTGTGATTTTGATGCAGTAAATTGTCAAAAAATAAAAGTTTCAGAAATCTTTCAATTTCAGAGTAGTAAAATGGACAAAAATTTTGAGAAAACCTATTGATGAACAAAACGAAAGCCAATTACAGGTTTTTGGTGAAATATGCTTGTACAAAAAAAATTTCACAGTTTTGTATTTTTACCGTTATTGAAGTTTTGCGAACCAATATGGACGAATTGAAATTGTGATTTCACCTTTCTGTGAACAAACAAAAAAATTTTTTTCATTTCGCCTTTTCTTTCATATATTCTACTGAGTTTACAGAGTAAGACAGAATTTCGACAGAATAATAGGTAGCGACGAAATAGTGAACCAAAAATAGATATTTTGCAAATTGTGAATAAAAACTTATTATTCCAACTTAACTTTTTGGTTTAATGCAACACAAAGTTAGCATCTATGCATTTTTAAAATGCAACAAAAAATAAGGTATATTTTGCGTTTCGAAAAATATTTTTACGCATTATAAGTAATACGTAAACGAATATCCATACATATATATTTCTATATCGGTTCGATACCGCGATTTATTTCCTGTTTTTTACTCTCGATTAATTTCCTGTTCGATTTCAATTCCCTGTAACTCTTATAATCGATTATTTTTGATAATCGCGCATCCTAATTAAAACGCGATTTCGTTGTAATTAGCAAGAAAATTTCCTACTCCCCTATCTCAAATGAATTTCCTAATTTTATTTCATTCTTAAATTATACATTGCATGTATGTATGTGCAATGTATAAATTTTAATTTTGTTTTTAATTATTTTAATGTGTTTGTTTTAACACCATAACTACATACATATGTACATACATATATCCTTCTAGTTATTGCTGTATTTTCAATTTAATTATCCTTATTGCAAAGAACAGATATCTAAAGAAAAATATAGGTTGAGAAATTAGTAACTATGTAAATATATAAGATCTATAGTAATTAATAACAGAAATATCATTCTTATTGGAAAATTGTTGTTAGTCTCTTCCTTAATGAAAAAAAGAATTCTCTAGTTTAACAAGCACGTTCAGGAAATTTTATTTAAATTAAAGAAAAAACTTTAAATTTTTTCGAAATAAATAAAATATTAAAATTATAATGTTAATGTGTGTAACGTCTAATAACGCAAATATTTACATCAATTATTATTAGAAAAAACTGCATTATTAATGTGAAAGAGAGCAGCGATAATAAGCGAACGATTTTAATATATTTAATGTCACTTCCAGGGTGCTGGAACAAAAAAAAATAAAAAAAAAAGAAATAAGAAAAATGTACTTGCAAATACGCGACCATACGAAATTTGAATGTAATAATTTTTATATAAATGTGTGCTTATACGTATGTATTGATTTCGAATATATATGTATATGCATTTTCTTTTAAATAGACCACATTCACAGTATACTTTCTTAATACTCAGAGAATATGAAAAAATTTATGTTGAATATAAATAGAGGACTATAACAACAAATTATGTATAATTCCGAAAACGAAGCGAACATTAACCTTTCATACTATTCAATTTTACTTTAAATGAGAAAAAGAGACAGTTAAAATTTATTTTTGTTTTCATACTGTTTTCTTTCGCATATACATACTTTTTATGGTAGAAATTTTATAATACTTGATATACTTGCTATACATATGCTATATATAAATATGTATATCAATATTTGTATACTACATAAAACATATCTATGGATTTATTCTCAAATTCTCAAATACTCATTTCCAGATCATAGCAGCACGACACATCATATAGGGGTTGTAGATGTGTTAGAATAACATATAGCTACATATATGAATTAAATAATTTTTTCTATTGTGTGTTTATATATATGTATATAAATATTTGTGCATATTCATAGATATTATTTTATAATTCTCTAAAATATTACAAACACAAACTTATATCGGCATATTTTATTTTAATATTAAGCCACCAACAAAAGCCAAACAGTACGTATACCGTATACGTATAACAACATACACATATGCATAATTATTAATTTAAATATAAAATTGACATATAAAAATATAATAATGAAAAATAAAATTAAGTCAATTTTTGGTTTAACTAACAAAATAAAATTTCTTTTTTGGTTGACGATTGAAATAATTTTCAAATAGATCTTTTACAATTGTAATTTAAGTAATATGTAATTTACTTTTCAGTCAAATATAAAAATAATGAAATAGATACACACATATGTACATATACTTATATATATATTTACATGCATACATTCATTAATACACACACTCCCATATCATATTAAAAATTTATAAGTACAAGAACCTGCAATTGAAATTTTTAGCCCGAAATTTAGTAAATTAACCGAAAATAATGGAAATTTTCATTTTGGGACACCACATATTAAAGACGATGTAATTACAGTAAACTCCAGGAAAATGCACACAAAAAATTCACAGAATTATCAGAAGCATGTATTTAGCATATACAAACATATATACTTATCTACATAAGTGTGTATATACTTAGGAATAAATGTAAAAAATTATTAAATAAACAGTTCCGCAATTATATGACTATTTATTCTTACTTTGACTGTTTATTATGACAATTTATACATTTATGTAAATATTGCATTAACGAAAGTTCTAATATCGGAATGCCTTATACTATATGTAGGTACCTAATTGGAAACCTTTATATACATATATAATATGGTACTTCACAGTATCTCAAATACATCCCCAAATACGTAAGTACGGGAATTCCAAAGTGTCGCGACATAAGTGTTAAAGTCTCAATTTATTTTTTCGATTTTTTGAACCTACAAATAGATAAATAAAATTTTACACTCAGTTTGGACAGTTGGACATAACCTATCGACTATCGCTCGAAATGCGGAGTTAAAGATTGTTAACGCCTATGAGTAAAAGTTTGTTATGTTATTATGTCCTTTTCATTAGTTGTAACTTTACGAAAATAAAAAATGAAATTAATGGACAAATTTCATTGTACATTGTACATTGTAAAGATGCAAAGAAATTTTTATGAATTTGTCATCTAAATATTT